AAATGCACTTTATAAGGAACCTATAAACTTTTTTTTTTTTTCCTTATAACCTTCCTGCCCAGCTTTGTACATATGGTGGGTTTGCTGTGAAGATTAAAGAATCATTAGACTCCAGTAGAAAAAGACTATGTTGGATCTCAAATTTGTTGCTGCAATTATTTGTGGTTACATAATGAAAGATAAAAGGAATTGTAGCAAAGAATAGTCTCCTGAATAGGACAAGCTGAAAGTTGCCCACAGAGCTGGTTTGTCCTCTAGGCAGTGACACAGAGCAGCTGTATGATGTGTCATTGAAAGTGGACGTCTCCCAGGTAGTCATCAGCAGTGTCCATGGTGGTCTGTTCCTGGGTTTCACCTTAGTCATCCGTTTACTTGTGTGGCTGGCAGGCATCTAACCAGTAGCTGGACTTGAGACTGCTTTAAACAAAATCTAATATTGTACAGCATTTGTTATTTGAAGTGCCAGATCCTGCATGTGAAAAGCTGATTCTGGAATTTGTAATCTACCTGTATTGTAGCATCCCATCTGTAAGATGTGCCATTTGTCTAAGAGATTAGCTGTGGAACTCAATGGAATGCAGCGTTGCTGAAACGTTTGAAGTTGTAGAGATGAGCACATAAAAAAAAAGTCTAGCCTACATGAAGAATCCAATCCTCAGAAGGGCATTTGAATTTCTGGAGATAATAAGGTGTGGACTGAAAGCCTAATTTGAATCAAAGGAGAGACTGTATTTGTTAAGTGAACAAATTTAATGGTACACAATTGATGATGATAATTCATGTGCTTCCAACTTTTTTGTTTCCTGTTTTGTTGCTTGATATTATGTTCTTTGTTGGTATTGTGTGTTTAACTTATGTATTCTTCTACTGTTCTTATGTTTCTTATCTTAAGATGGTTTATTTTCCCTTTTTCTCTTCCAAACATAATTTAAAGACTGTTTAACTGAGATAAACCAGTTCAGATAAAAGGATGCTCTCTCTTTTTGTAATGGAAATAATGGAAGATACAGTGGAGAAAACTCTTGTCTCATTCAGTTAGAATAGGCTTATTCAACTTTGGGAAGTTATCAGCTGATATTTGTTTGCAATTAGGCTGCCACTGGGCAGGAGAAGAGAAATCACTAATTACTCCTGTGTACTCTGAGGGTGCTCTGATGGTACGTGGAGAATCTGAGTTACTAACTCTTGCACATCACTTAAGTTCCTGATGTCAGTTGATACACAAGTCCATCATGTTTAAGTAAGAATGGTAACTATTCTATATGTTGTGTGTCCAATGTTCATAGAATCATAGAATCACAAGGTTGGAAACGATCTATAAGATCATCTAGCCCAACCGTCTCCTCATCACCATTGCCACCACTAGCACTAAATGTTGTAAGTCATTTTACTTTGACAGAGAATATGAATATCTTCATCTTTGTTCGATCTGTCTAGCTTTCCCGTGTCTGAACTGCTGTGCAATTGCAGCTGTAGCACTGCTCATAGGAGCGTGTGGGCAATGCTGTACAGACTCAAATAGCATGAGGCATACTTGCATGGTTTTCTCAGTGCCCCTGCTCATGGTGATGGGAGGGCATTGCAGCTTCATCTTCCAGACAAAGCTTCATCTCATCCCTGAGCTTCATCTCATCCCATGCTACTGGGCCTCAGAGCAACAGCAGTTCATCCAGGAGGGGATCAGTGTCTTGGAACACAGTGTTTTCAGAATGGAGACTGCAGCTGAGGGGAGTGGAAGTGTTGCAGAAAAAAGGCTGACCCTGAGCTGCTACCACAGGGTAAAACCATATGTGGTGGAACCAGTGCTGGCATTTATGCTATCCCTTATAGAGATCCTGTGTGTCTTTTGCTTCTCCTTTAATCTGTTCTCTGAAGGCACCCACTAACATAGCCTCTGTTTAGATGTCTTCCTGTGACATTGTCTAGTAACTTGCAGGTAGCTGAAAGCTTTGTGTTTCCAAAGCTTAACATAGCTGGTCTGTGTGCAGCTCCTGATCCTTTGGTATTTTGCCTAGAGTTTACTGACAGCTTCCATTTTATCCCTGAAAAAATAACTAGTTTAACTTTTAAGTGTGAAGCTTTGCTGATCAATATGGTATAAATGTAGTTGAGTTCAAGAAATTGCCTTCATTACTATCTTGAGATGAGAAATTGATTTAGTTGCATTCTCTTCGTACTAATTCGCTCGTGCTTTACATTCCCATAAAAGGTATTATGTGCTCCTTATTTTCCAGCAGTGTCATCAATCCTAATGAAGAGAGAAGAATAATTTATATTGTGTGTATGGGATAGCTGATCTCTGACTTAGCTCTTAATTTGTAAATGTTGCTGAAGACTTCCCTTCCCTTCTCCTTACCCTGCTTAGGTTCCATCTAGAATCTAGGAAGTGGGGTAGGAATAAAACCAAAGAATATGGTGAAGAAATATTAATTTAGACTGTTTTTGAATCCAAACTTAAAAAATGAGACACTGGTGAAAATGTAATGAAATCAATTTTCAAGGAATCAAAACATCATTTGTGAGTTTTACGTACTTTCGCAGTGCTTGGTTTTATTCTGCATTAATTACACTGGGACTATTTTCAGTGTTTTATTAGTCATTAGCTTGCTACCTCTGTTTCTGAGGTGCCCAAAGTTTTGTTCTTTACCTGTGGTATTACGCAAAAGAGCTCTGCATGTGCCTGCTAATTTCCATACATCTGCATGTGGGTATTACTGTATCTCTGCTGATGGAGGTGAATGACTCAGCAGCATAAATCAATATAATGAAAGAAGTGAGCAAAAAGGTGATGTAGAGAGAAAAGCAGCAAAAAGAAATACAAAATAAGGAAAGGGTTTTTTGGGGCATTGCTGTTGTTGCTTTTCTCACTGTCAGTTGGGCTGGCCTCTCTTGGAAGCTGCCTGGGATGGTCTGTCTGCAGAATGCTTTGACATTTTTAGATGGATAAACTAAAAAGCAAGCAAGACTATGTAGTGTGACTGTGGTCGATGCTCATGATATAGCAGTTATTTTTTAATGAAGCTTAAACAGATCTTGGCAAGTTCTAAACAACTGTGTTGAACAGCTTTTGTTGCTACCAGAGTTAACCATGGGCTTTCCGTATGTTTCTGAGTATATCCTGTTCCAAATGTAGTCAGTCATCTGGAAGGTTCATTGGGCATCTAAAGATATGAAATACTGGTATAAAAAATGAGATGGATAAAGCAGTAAATAGATGAGACTTTATAATAACCTTTCTTATTTCAACATATTTATTAAAGAAGTTATACTTTCAATTTAGGATTCACTGAGAAAAGCCATCAGCAGATAGATTGCAAGCAGCTAATGAACTATTTGCTTTCTGAGATATCTGCAGCATTTCAGCTCACATTCATAATGAAATTCAGGCATGAACAAATTGTAGTTACTTTAACCCAATACAATAACTTCAAAAGCAAAAACTTGGTTGCATCCGAAGTTGGTTATTCCTGTGTCTCTGTGCAATGGAATCATTATTTACTATCAGCTGAGGGGTTCTTTAAAAGGACATTTTGAATAGGTTAGGCTTCGTAAGGAGCTCTGTTTTCTCCTGCAGTGTGTACTTGGATCAAATTTGTTTGGATTGTGCTGTGAACCCCTCAATTTCTTTTGGCTCCTGGGGATCATGCCATGGGCTGCAGAGGTTAGTGCTGGGCCGGGTGAAGAAACCCTTTGGATTCATTTCCCCATGCCTTGGCAGGGGGAGGGAGGGGAGCTATACTGTTCAAGGAACTCCTGGATTTGGCAACAAGTTTCTTCTTGCTATATGCAATTATGTCATGGTGCTTAGGACCTATTATCAGAGGCCTTTAGAGAGTAATTTCAGCGGGTGAATCAGGTGTGGAGATGACAGCCAATGGGTGAAAGGAGGAAAATACTGATCAAGCTGCCTGGTGTTACCTGTGTCCTTCTCCTGTGAGACATTGTTTATACAGTTGTCTCATGGCTGCAGCAGCTTTCCAAAACCTAAATATCTAAAGGGCAGATGTCAAGTGCATGGGACCAGCCTCTTTGCAGTGGTGCCCAGTGCCAGGTCAGTGGGCAACAGACAGAAACTGGAATATGGACAGTTCCATCTGAGCACGGGAAAGAACTTTAAACAGAGCACTGGAACAAGCTGCTGAGAGAGGTTGTGAAGTCTGCTTCTCTGGAGGTATTCAGAACTCACCTGAATGCTCTTCTGTGTAAACTACTCTAGGCAACCTATTTTAGCAGGGAGTTGGACTGGATGATCTCCAGAGGTTCCTTCCAACCCCTTGAATTCTGTGGTTCTGTGATTCATTCATGGCCTTCCCTGAAAGCTGTCTTGGCAGCAGCACCAACAAAGCAAATGCATCGCTTTTATTTAAATAATTTAAGATGCTTTGACGAGGTATCTCTTTTGAATTTGTTGACAACGTGATTGTATTGCCCACATCTTTGACTGTCATCAATCCCTCCCTTCCTGAATGCTACACCTTCTTGTTTAAATCATGCTGCAAGCTGTTGGACAGCAAGGTCTCCTCTCAGAGGCAACATCTAGCCTGCCTTTGGGCCCTGTCGGAGAAGTGTAAGATCCTTTGAAATCTTTACAGTGTCTGTGATACAAGTGCAATCTTGTTTTAGTTTTTGAGTCAACCTGTTCTTCATTTTGCAGTTGGTGCCAAGGTAAGTAAGAAGAAAAGATGAATTTACTGATACTACTTTGTAATTTGTAGGACCATGAATGTGTCCCAGAGATTTGACAATAAAGCAGTCTCTCACTATCAATATGGAAACGGGGTTTCTTGCTGTTCTTTGAGGGAGTTGCCTTGCTGAGAGATATCCCCTGCAATACTGAGTTGAATAACAGAGTAGTACAGATATCATAATGAATAGAAGTTAATATTTGATTGTGTTGTGATAGGATTCTCATTCTGCAGGCTTGCTTATGGAGTGAGTTGGTGATACTTTATAAGGTAATGGTTAAAAAATTGTTTTCTGTTCTTTTTCTTTACGTTTAGATACATCATTTTGAGATCACAGAATGAGAACGGCATGAAATGTTATGGCGAAGACAGCACAGCAAGATACAACAGTCTCACAAGTAATCAAAAATCAGGTACTGTTGGAACATCATGTGTCCACTTTCTATGAGGCTAGGTTGTGTAATGAGGCTCGGTGTGTGCTTTCTGTCTGTTTCTCAAAATTTGTGGTTCTGAGTCTCTGTAGTCTTATTGATGGACTTCTCAGATAAGGCTAGCTGTATGTTGACTGTATTCTCCAAGACACTACGTTGGAGTACATTTTATGTGCTCCAGTACATATGGCACAGGAGATTCCCATGCATTCATATGTTTCCTAAAGGCCTAAATTGCCCGCTTCGTCTTGTACAAACAAAATGTGCATTACCATAATTAAAAGAAAAGAAGCTGTGGTGCTCAGTTCCACGTAGCCATTCAGTTTTTTTGTGGCCCCACAGCTAGGTACCAACATAGTGTGTTTAGAGGGATTGATTTTTCAGAGGGTCCACTGGCAAGATTTTGGAAAGCTTGGCCTCATTTGAGGGAGGCAGTGGCTCAAAATAGCTGCTACCTCCCTACGGAAAACTTATCCATATGCTATTTCACAAAAGCTACTTCTACCTGCTTTTTTTAATGTTTTTTTGTTTGTTTGTTTGTTTATCTAGCTGTTTATCTGTCTCAGGATGTTTCCTTCTTACCTGTTTTTGCAAATCTCAGCCCATGTTCTCTGACTGTTTCACAACATTCACAGAAAAAGTCGATCACCTTACAAGCTTCATAATATAAGCACTGTAGAAGTCACGAAGAAACAGATGAAGTGTAGCATAAGGGTTTTCACCTTATGCTAAAATAGTGTCTCAGCTGCTCTGGCCACAGTGATAGCTGATGGATTTATGTTTGAATGGGAAGGCATGAAATGTCCCCCTTCTCTCCCAGCTCAGCACTAGTGAGCAGAGATTTTGATGTGCAGTAGTGGGCAAAGTCTAACCTGTCTATCCTTATGATCTTCATGCTGGGGACTTGCTGAGGAAAAATAAATTACACAATTCAGTAATACCAGCAAACTAGAATATGAACTTGAGGGCAATAGGGATAAGGGGACGCATTGATATTCCAGGAAACACATGGAAGTACTGCCCTTGATGTAGCAGCAGCAGCTGTTACATTTTCTTTCATATAATCAGTCAGTAAACCTGGATTGGGTAAAGACATTTCAAATGAAGTTTCATAGACAGCTTCTGCCTTGATCAAATACGCAGTAATGTATTGGTGAATATTAAAAATCTGTTTTTGTCAGTGCTGATCAGCCCCTGTAATAAATCCTGTCTTCTGTAAGCTTCTTGGTCACTTAGTCTTGGGATATGCAATTCCAGTGCCTTTCTGGCCCTACTCAAGGTTTTTGTTTTGATTTTTCATCAGTATTGTGAGATGATCACACCATTTTATATGTCATTTTTATGAAATAACGTGCTACCTGCTTCAGTCACAGTTCTGAGAACACTTCAAAGTAGCTCAAAACTGTAGCACTGTTCAACTGACAACAAAGATGATCTGGGTTGCTGAAGCAGCTTTCTTCATTTCTTTGGGACTCGTGGAACTTTATCTCCCTTAAACTAAATCGAGTTACTGGCTTTATTTAGAAATCAGCCTCTTCTTCAGCCTCTTCTTCTTGAATAACAAGAGTGCTGTTAGTTTTAGGAGAAAAGTTTTCATTAAATTACCAGTGCCTCAGAATGCATTTTCTGCTTATAACTTAGATCAAAAGGAGAAGAAAATGTTATTGCTTGTTTGTCTTCCTTTCTCCTCCCCCTTTTCTAGAAACTTGCCTGAGATGATCAACTGTTGTTTTTTCTGTTGTTTTTTTGTTGTTGTTGTTGTATTTTTAAACTTTATTGAAATGGAGAAATTGCTCGGTTCCCCTCCCAGTGTCGTTGTTGCTTTCCCCTCCCCCAAGTCCAATCTGTTCTTTATTAAACTGAATTAGGACATTCTAGTTTTTCTTAAGAGTGGAAATGGGAACAGCTCAAATGAGCAGCCACACGAGACTTACCAGCCTTTCCAACTGCACTGCACTGCAGTAAGAGCTCGTCTGCAAAGGGAATGATATTTTTTGAAGGATTTGTGCAACTATTGAAGAATTACTGTCATTAATATTAAAAAGCAGCTAATCTCCCCTTCCATTTTAAGAGCATATGGCTTTCCTATGTGCTTTCTGTAAAATCAATATACCACGTATTTTTGTTCCTTTCCATCTCTTTTTCACTTTTGCAATTATTTTATTCCTGTTCCTTCTACACTAGCATACTCCTGTGGTAGTCTTTTCGCCTAATAGCTCCAACCTTTGTGTTTATGTGCAGATATGAGCATGGATTTGCGACCTCTGACATTCACAGAAAGTCAGAATTCAAGCGCAGCGCAAAACATACAAGTGGTTTTATCCAGGACTGGGATGATAAGGTTTTCAGCCCTGAGTATTTATCCTTGAGATAGCTATATAAATTATAGTTGGTCCTTGAAATTCATATTGTTATTTTGCTATTTATTCAAGCCATGATTCTGTATCTTTTTACCCTTGTTTTCAGTCCGTGCCTCTATTGTTACATCTGATCCATCTTCAGAATTTCTATAGGATAACGTCTGGTTCTTTGAATTATCATCTTTCTTCTTGTTTTCTCTCTGCTAATGCCATCTTGTTTGGCATTAGAAATTACTCATTCTGTTTCAGTACTGTGCTGCTTTTCTCCCATGATTATTTTCTCGCCCAACAAACAAACAAACAAACAAAAAAAATGGAGCTTGGGCTTGAACTGTGGTTAACCGAGGAGCTGTGGAGGAAGACCTGGTATCTCAGCAGTGGTTCTGAAGCACAAGGGGCTCTGAAACCTACCGCTCCTCCTCCCCCATTGCTGTGCTTTGCAGGCATCCCCCATTTGCTACAGTTAAGAGGTAGGGGCAGTGTCAGCTCTGCTCCTGGAGGCTGGCTTTGAGTAATGCAGGTATGTCCTTTCTCACATAGCTCTCTCCTGGTTTTTAAACCTACTCTCTTTGTTGGGTTCTTAATACTGACTGTATGTCAGCAGTGCTCAGCTGAAAATCATACCTGTCTGGGCTGTCACTTACTTAAAGGCTGGACTGTAGGCAGCCCAGGTAGTAGGGGTTCCTGGCACTTCATGTTAGCAGGAGAGAGTGTATCAGGGAAGGAACTGCTGTATATTTGTGTGTCTGGACTAAAAAAAATCCAGAGACAGATATGATGTGAGTGATGACTGGCTAAATGTAGGCATAGCATAGCAGATGATCTCGCATTTCTGAATTACAAAGTAAGCCAGTAAAAACATTCCAATAAAAAGGCCAAGAATAAGATAAATCCTGCTTTGTTTATATGGAAACTAAGTGGTAGAAAAAAGTTGAAAGGAAGAAAGGAGGAAAACAGAGAACTCCTGCTTTTGGATTTTGACATATGCATGATTAAAAATGAAGCTTGTAATCTAATAGTGAAAATACAGATGTGAGAAAGCCGTGTCTCAGCCTGTCCGACTAAAGGGCAGTAAGGCATGATTAAAACATGTCTCCAGTGTGGGGAGAACTCAAAGTTGTGATGCATTTTTGTAAGTAGGCGTGCCTTGAGTTACTACTCAAAAAAAAAAAAAAAAAAAGAAAAGAAAAAAAGAAAAAGAGAGAGAAAAACAACCACACAACAAAACAAAGCTGTTTAGATTGCTGAAAGTGCTGGTTAAACTTATTTCAACCAAAATGTTATAATCCCTGGCTGCATTGTGCCCCAGCAAATTAGCATCTCTTAATGCTACTGCTTGTGAGAAGTTCTAAATGCTCTGTCCCGCAGAAGCCAGTTGAATGTGAAGGAGTTGTAGGTTTTTGCTTCTGCCTTCTTGTCTTGTCTTCTGTTTTCAGACTAAACAGTAGTTCATTCATTTATTAAAAGTTTGTAGTTTTTGTTATGAATTAATTAATTAATTAATTTTGAAATGAATTGGACAAAATGTAGGATCCAATTCCATTTTGATTTGCAGCCATGCAGTATGCTGCAGTGGCTTAGATCAGTGTCACAATACTTTGATGGTCTGTTAATGCATCTAATTCCTTCATTATGTGCTCTCCTATGGTCTTTTGTCATCTTTCTCCATTAATGCAGTTCTGAAATTGAAATTGGCTGACGTTCAGTCCTGCTTTTGCATCGTGCACCTGGCACAACTTGTGACCAGTGACTTAGTTGGTGTGGTTGTCTTGCTGAAGTTCATGTGGATTCAGGGAGTTCAAAAGAATGATGTATTGGATATGTTTTTTTACTGACGTTGACATGTTGTGCAGATTTCTGTTTTTGTGTTCTGTTATAGAGCTCTTTCTTTGTTGTTTTTGTTTTTGGTAAAGTAAGTAATAATTATTGTCTCTTTGATATTTTGCTGTCTGCCTTCTGTAAGATTTTCTAACTGTTCAGTGATATAACTTATGAAGGATGTAAAGATCATCTTTATTGAAGACTGATAACATCAGAACATTCTTCCATTTATGTACACCAGAATTAAGCTATGGTGTGCTTCTAGGAGTGACTGTTATTTGTATTGCCTTAGTGTTGCCTGTGTTTGAAGAGGAAGATGGTTGAAATGTATAAAGACATTTCAGCAAGCATGTTTGTGGCTTTCAGTCTGGAGAAAGAAGCTGTGCAACTTGCAGGGACCACACTGAAATTAGAAGAGTTGAAGTGAAACCTTGTCTCTTCTGAAATCAATTGAACTCCCATTAGTTTGGGTCCAGATATCATCCACAATATTAAATAGGGTATTTCTCTTCCCAGGCAGTCTACAGAAATGTTTTTGTCCTTTCACAGTTGTTTCTGTTTCTTTGTAATGATTGCGTAATTGGGATATATCCGCACTGTCAGAAATGTAGTAGGTTGAGTAGTGTAAGTGGCTGTTGGAAAGAAAAACATACAGCTGCAGAACCATTGTTGCTTTAAAGCTGCTGCTTTCAGAAGTTGAGTTGTTTGATTTAACCATTTAGTAGTAATAGTTGTTGTTGTGACAAATTGCAATTAGAGGTGTTTAAGCATGAGTGCTTAAAAGGAGAAAAAACAACCTTTTCTTCCTGTCATTGCAAGAAGTAGAAATGCATTGCCAATGGCTTCTCAGTTGGCAAGAGACTAAATTCTGCCTTTTAGGCCTTAATTATATTTTGTACAGCACTGATATTTTGTTAGGTTTTAATCCAACAAGCAATATATTCTGTTGGCATTTTGTTAAACTTGATTGCAGATGCTATTGTATACAACATCATGACCTTGAATTTAAGCCTGTTGAAGTACTGAAAAAAATATGTTATCTCAGTGACCATGAAATGGTCGAGTTGAAATTCTTTGGTAGTATGACAAAAACTGCCACCAAGTCTTCAGCCCTGGGTATGGGGAGAGCAGAGTTAAGGCTGCTCAGGGAACTAGTTTGCAAGTTCCCCTGTGAAACTGTTTTTGAAGGCATTGGGGTCCATCAGTGCTGGTCACTTTGTAAGCACTACTGCGTAACAGCAGGAGAGAAGACAATTACAAAGTGTCAGAAGTCTTGCAGGCAGGGTAGAAGGTTGGCTTGGCTGAGCAAAGATCTCCTAGAGCTTGGGGAGGAAGAGAAAGTGTATGACCACTGGAAGTGAGGTCAGGCGAAGTGGGAGTGCTATAGAGACGCTTTTCATCATTGTAGGGAGAAAGTTTGTGCAGCCAAAGCACAGTTAGAGATGAAGGTGGCCAGTACTGTGGGGAACAAGAAAAATGGCTTTTTAAAATACGTTAACAGCTAAAAATCCTGTTTAATGAACATAATCTCCATTTATGACAAGGTTACCCACCTTGTTAACCAAGGGAAGCCAGCTGATGTAATGTTTTTAAATTTCAGCAAAGCTTTCGGTACTGTTTCCTCCTGGACAAAATGTCCAGCTGCAGCTACACAAATACATATGTAATGAGTGAGCAACTGGCTGATCTGTTGGCCACAAGGGGCTACAATAGCTGGTGTTCTGTCAGGTTGGTGGCCTGTCATTAATGGAGTTCCTCAGGGCTCCATTTTGGGGCCACTTTTCTTCAATGTTTTTGTCAATGACTTGAATGCAGGAGTTGAATGCTAAGTACGTTTGCAGATGACACTAAATTGGGAGAGACTGCTGACTCCCTCAAGGGCAGAGAGGCCTTGCAGAGAGACCTTAACAAATTGGAGGGCTGGGCAATCACCAACCACATGAAGTTTACCAAGAGCAGTGCTGGATTCTGCACCAGGGATGGAGCAGCCCTGGGTATATGAACAGAGAAAATGAGAGGCTGGAGAAGCAGTGCAACAGGGAGTGATCTGGGGGTTCTGGAGAAGCAGTGCAACAGGGAGTGATCTGGGGGTTCTGGTTAACAGCAAGTTGAATGTGAGCCTGCAGTGTGCCCTGGCAGACCAAAGGGCCAACTGTGCCCTGCGGTGCCCCAGGCCCAGCACTGCTACCATGTGAGGGAAGGAGTTGTCCTGCTGTGCAGCCTCACCTCCAGGGCTGGCTGCATTTTGGTTAGTACAATGTAAGACGGGCATAAAGCTATTAGAGAATGTCCAAAGGAGAGGGCTACGAAGATGGTGATGAATCCAGAGGGCAGGAGTATGAAGAGAGGCTGAGATCCCTGGGTTTGCTCAGCTCAGAACAGAGAAGCTGAGCCTTTGTGTCAGTACTAGTTCTTGTCATTTGGCTAATGCTTCTCATTTCACACAAACTTTAAAAAGCAGAGACAAAACAAACAAAAAAAAGTCATCTATTGTAAATTCTGATGTTATCAATAAGTGAAAATAGGACATACTTCCTCTGGAAAAGGTAGCTAGACTGATCCGTTCGTGCCCCATTCTCATGGAAAGATGTTCAGAGTCTCAGCTGAGCTTTCTGAACTTGGCAGGCATGAAAGGAGATGCATATATTCCTTTGTAGCATGCCCCTCTTCCTGCATAAGTTGATGGCCTTTGAGTGTGAAATACCGCACAGTGTTTATTTTTATGTCCTTTGAATGCTTTTGCAGGCTTTGTTTAATTTCTCCTTCTAACTTTAAATAGGCATTCTTTGAAGTTGAGTTGTGGCTAAAAAATCTTTGGCAACCTGACCATTGACTCCCTTGGAAGGGAGTGTGTTCAGAGAAAATAGGAAGCAATGTATGTTTCTGAAAGGGGAAATAAACTTGCAGTTACTCTCTGCCATCATTTGTCATGTGAAAAAGTTACATGCTAGTGGTTGCTTACACAAAAACTATGTACACACTGAAAACCTTCTTCATTTGGGAGCTATGGTTTTCTCTCTTATATTATGCTAGAACAAAAGTAGGGTTTTTTTTTGTGCCCACAGCTAAATATTAGCCTTATTTACTGTTGCTAGCACAGAACTCGTTAATATACATCTGGCAATTGTTAAATTTTTCTTTATCGGTGACCTCACATTTATTCATTCAGGTCAAGGATTCTCCTGAGTTTAAAAAGGTAAAGACATGAGTACAAAGGAGCCCGAGATGGAAAGTATTATGTTTAGAAAGCCAAATGGGAAAGGGGCAGGGTTAAGGTTGTTGCCTAATATATATTTTTTTTTTGGTCTTGTTAAAGTTCAGAAGAATATTTTGCATTGAAACATACTTGTATGTGCATAAGCGTACTGTGCCTTTGTGCATGTGTGCATAACGTTAGACAATGTGATCACTTCCCACCGTAAAACAGGAACAACCTTGTAATATACCTTTATTTTTTGTTGTTGTTTTGTTCGTTGAAAACAGTACAGGCATCTTTAAAATGTTGCTTTGAATTGTGGTTTATATGGTAACAATGATAAATGGTTGCAGTTACTGTAAATTAGTCTGTTAAAATATTGCAAACTGAAGAAGTGTGAGAGAGGAGAGCAGAAGTTGGAAATCAGCATCCCTGGTGTAAGATGAATGACTTTAACAGATTTCTGTTGATTCTGATTTCCAAGGTGTGATTTCTAAGGACCTATTTGGTTTTAGCATTAATCAGATTCCAAATGGAAAACCAAATAAATCTACAAGCACAGATACATTTGAGTATCTATATGCTGGTGATTTTTGATTGTAGTTTGGGTTTTTGGGTTATTTTTTTGTTGCTGTTGTTTTGTTTTGTTACAGCAGTGAACATTAGTCTTGCTTCTTAATCTTCAGTGACAGTGTATTTTCGTACCACTGGAATGTGTTGTAAGTACCCTGGAAGTTGTGAGAAGCTCTGCAGTTCTCTGTGCAAATTCTGGGCAGCAATTCACTTTTTTGTTTGTACTTTTAGGTGTTGGTCCTGTACAGGTACTGGTAATCTGAGTTCTGTCAACTTTGTTCAAAGCCCTGGCTTTTGTTTTACTTTCCTTTTCGGGCCTTTGTGGAGGTATCTGTTGTTATTTTGTGTTATAAACTGAGTGTTTTGCTTCTGACAACTAGCAGCATTAGAAAAGATGGTTTGGCTTTATAGTAAGCTGTCTGAAGCTAGTCAAAAGAGAGCAATATGTGGCCAGCTAAAGCTGCTCAAGTGTTCATATGCATCAGGAGAAATAAAAAGCTCAGTTTTAAAGAATGGGACTTTTTGGATCTGGCAGAATGATTTTATGTGAGAACTAGATATGAAGCAGGATAATGGGATGAGATGAAGTAACTTAACTGCACTGGAGTAGGCCAGCTACTACAATTTTGTATAAGATTATGCATTTTGAATTAGATTTTGGTTTCCTTTGAGGCAATAACAATAACAGAACGTGTAGAAGGCTGACACTTACTCTTACTTTCTCTTACTCTGTAGATGCCTGGCACACTGAATCTATTACTGTGTGTAAGATTTGCGCTGTGGTCCATTTTTTGAAGATGTGAAGCAACGCTGAGTCTGATTGGAATTACTGACAGACTGGAGGAAATCTTAGTCTTTCTGTTGCACACGCACATGCTGAATTATAAGTAATCCTAGCTTCTCTTCCCTCCCCTCACTCCCTCACTCAGCTATCTCAGGGTTCATAGAGATTTCAATGGTTCACGTGCCTGTAAGATTGGAATAGAAGTGACGAAAAATGGGGGACCAGCAATTGTATAAAACTAACCATACTGCCAACAGCAATGAGAACTTATACTACCAACACCAAATGAACTCCCTTCCATCTCTAAATCATAGTTATGGGACATCTGTTATAGATGCTCCCCAGGCGTCCCCTCTCTCCCCTCACTTTCCCCAAGATTCAAGAGACAGTATAGCTTTGCCTGTAGGTTCAAAAAGTCTTGGGTCAATGGATACACTTAGACAAACATGGACGCATTCTGGCTCAGGAAACCACGTCCCAGTGCGGAACAATTTGAGTAATCAAAGCGCTATGTGGAGCCCCCTTGGGCAGGGAGAATCTCATGATGGATACCAATATTCTTATTCTCAACCCAGCGAAAATCGATCCCAAAAAATTACCAGTGGGGTCCTGCATAAGTTGGACTCTTTTACACAAGTATTTGCTAACCAAAATCTGAGAATTCAAGTCAACAACATGGCTCAGGTTTTACACACTGAGACTTCCATGGCGGATAATTCTGGTGACAGCGCGCTCAGGCAGCTACTGTCCCAGAAGCCAGCAGTTGAGCAACAGCCTGTAACTTCCAGCATACAAAGATATCAACCAGTGCCACAGCAGACGCAGAATTTTGCAAGCACACAGCAAAAGCAACAAATGCAAGTCATGCAGCACCAACAGTTGTACTATGACTACCAGCAGCATTTGTCACAAATGCAGATTCATTCTGCGTTTCAGCAAGGACAGACACACGTTCAACAAATGCAGTCCCAGCAGCTCTTACCGCAACAGATGCAGCACTTGCAGCAGACTCAGTACTATGCTCAGCCACAGCAGGGACATCAGCGACTCTCAATACATGAGATCCAACAGCAGCAGCAACAGCCAACTCGGCAGCAGCAGCAGAGGCAGTGTCCGATGCAAATAGCTCAGTATTACCAAACGCAGCCTGTCATGCAGCTACAGCAACAACAGCAACAAATGCAACTGCAGCTTCCTCCGTATCACAGGGAGCCCGATCCAAAGACTGTGCATGAACCCCACCAGTACCCCCAGGATCCAAGTCATCCTGTGCAGCTCATCCAGTTGGGAGCAGCGCCTCCGTATTGCTATCAGGATCCGCACGAACAGTACAGGCATTTGTACCCGCAGGGTTTGCTGCAGCAGCACGACCAGCAGAAGCAATACACAAGTGAAGGCAGAGCTGCATCTCTGAACTCCCACGTCGGCCTCACTCCACCGGGGACAGCTGAGGATCCTGCGCGGTCAGAGGTCAATTCTGCAGGTAACACTGTACCTCATCGAACTCTTTTGCCATCCTCAGGAGCACATCTGAACAACAGAAGCTCTCAGCAAGACTCTTCCGGCCCTGGGTGGCCTCAGGTAGGTGACGTTTTGGATCCCTGCTCAAACTTGTTCAGTGGAAAAGCATCCAGGTATGGAAATGAAATGTTACGGTGGAGCTGGGTAGTCAAGATGTGAGCAGTGGGCATTGCTGGGATGTTTTGGAGAACTGTGTTAACAGAGTTCTACATCGCTGTCTTGTCTTTGGGCCAGTGGGCAGCAGCATGAAGCTGCTGCTGCGAGGCTAGTGGTTCCCTCATGAGAGAGTTTGGGGAGCTCAGAGTCGAGGTGCTCCTGCTCATTTTTCAACACTCATATGCCTCAATGTGCATAAACATTTAGCTTCTTGTTTCCAAACATAATACTACTGCAGCAGAGGCAAACCTTCAAACAAGAGGTGAGTGTAAGAAAGCTTGTACCAGCATTGCTCGTGGAGGTACTGATTTGCTGGATAAATGTAAGGTTCTCAATTCAGAGGCATGCAATATTAGTAGAAGCATATGCAAAATACAAGAATAAAGCTGTCAGAACCTTCATTTATATATCAGTATTTCCTGCAAAATTATTTTTGTTTTTTCTTTCCCCTCTTTTCCACTTTCTTCCTATAATGGCAGGTGCAATTGTCAGATGGCAGACTGCAGCCACTGTCCCCAGAACAAAGGTATTATATTTTTTTGTGTTCTTGGTTTAAATGTAAGAAATACAAAGGAGTGCTGCAGTTTGAAGAGAGAGGAATGCACTCCATGAAGATCATAGATGTTTCTTTTCTAGAAACGTCTTTATCCTAGTGTTTTGTGGTTATAAGTTTGTGTGATTTCCATTCCCCATCCCTCCATAATAAAATTGAATGCTTTGTCTTTGCCCACAAAAAGTGAACCAATCCAAATCAATAAAGGAACAGTCCGTACTTAACACTGCATTTTTAAGAGTATGACTGATGGTGCATGGCTTGCAGTTGTACTTCAGCAGCAGAGACCTTCTGGTTTTTTTTCAAGATCTCACCCTTACAGGGTTGAGGTATCTTCCAACATTGTTGTCTGTCCTGTTTAGGGACATTACGTCCAAGTGAGACGTAATGAATGAATGAATTTGAAGGTGTGTCACATTAGTTCTCCTGGGTTCTTGGATTTATCCATGCCAAGAGTCATGTTTTGACAAGTGTGTTCTACTCAGAACTTTCCTTCTCCGTATCTTGGGAGCAACTGATCTGGGTTATCACCCATGTGTTCTAGAGCACTCACCAAGTGTTTTCCTGTGGCTTCTTAAAAGTGTAGCTGTAAAACTTTATTGACTTCCTTGACAAAAAGAAAATCTTCCTCTGCAATGAAAGGAACATGCCAAACTGATGTCTCTTCTTCTGTTCCATGCTAAAAAATTTCAACTAACAATAGTGGCCTGAACAGAGAAACACTTCCCGAGAGAGCTGATGGGAAGAGCAAGCTAACGTGCTCAGTATGCTTGAAGGAGTTTAAGAGTTTGCCTGCTCTGAATGGTCACATGAGGTCTCATGGAGGAGTAAGAACATCTCCTAATTTCAAACAGGTAGCCGTTCATTTTACTTCAGTATTTGATTCTCTTCTCTACATGTTGATGTTTGCTTGCTTTGCCACGCTTTGCTTTGCTATCATACCTGTTCTCCTCGGCACTGTTTTATGTCACACCCCATCTATGTAGAGGCACACAAATAATTCTGATAATTTACAGTTTCACCTAAAAGTGAGAAATGGTGGAGGACAGAACAAAATTTGTGCCTCTTTATGTCTCTGCACATTACGAAAACACTCTACAAAATCATGGCACAAGCTTCTGAATTTTTTCCCCTCGTGTTTGTTTATTATATCAGAAATATCAGGAACATCAAGTCTTCCTTATTTTCGTTTGGACTACTTAGATGACTAAGGGATGTTTATTGGAAGCATTCCCAGACTTCAACTGAAGGAGCAGGATTATTGAATCTTTGACAGCTTTCTTCCAAAGTGTTGTAGTTCTACAGGTATCAACAAATACCAAATGAAAAATGTGGGTTTGAATTGTTCTGAATAAAGACAACTTGCCCCATCGACCAGTTTTTCAGTGTCCTGATATTTTAAAAATTCTCTCTTGATGGGGGAGTACTACAGAAAGCCAGAGAGCTACCAGGTTCTACGTGAGTGATGGGGAATTCTGCCGCCTTTATAGTGATAAAAGAAGAGCATGTGTTTATTGCCCCTTCTGCAAGTGATCCTATAAAGATGCTTAATGTGGTTATTTGTCACTGAGGCTAAATCCTACATAGGAGTCAAGTAACCTGTCAACTTCCTTCACGGCAAATGCAGAGTCCAAGAAGCAAGGCTATTTTCTGTATTGTAACCCTGGCCTCTTCTTCTCAGCCACAGTGCATACACTGCATAGTTTATCAATCCAGAAGTGGCCCTCCCTCGCTTGGGCTGAAAGCCTTTAATTGTCTGTGCAGGATGAAGGAGAGAAGCCACCACAGCAGCCGCTGCCTAAAGAGGTGGATAGCCTCGCGCCCATCGTCATGCCAGTGTCTGTCCCTGTAAAGCTTCTGTCACCCGAACCCAGCACGCAGCCCTCTGCCAGCACTGCCACAGTCAAAGACAAGTCTGCCAGCTCTGTGTCAGACGATGAGATGCCCGTTCTCGTGAAGATGACTTTCTCTCCACCGTGCAGTCCAAAAGTGGCCAACCCCTGCTCATCCTCTGTGAGTGCTGCGTTTCTTGCCGCTAAGTCTGCTGTGTCTGTTAAATCCCTTTGCTTATAGTGCTGCCGTGTTCTAAAAAGTTCGTATTTTAGAACATTTTCTGGAATCTTAATGATGCCTAATAAGCAAAAAAGGCTGTGGCATCGTATCATTTCTTCCTCAGACTTCGGAAAATACTAATTTTCTCTTTACTGAGGAACTGAGACTTCAGCTGAAAACAAGTCATTCGAAATTGGAATGTGATATTCTTTCTATCCCACTAGAACAAAGGGATTTAGTATCTTTTTACTGGTTTTGTTTTTCCTTTTCAGGCTGCTTTGTTTTTATGTTATTGCTTAAATTCAGCAGTTTTGTTTCTTCCTGTTTTTTAAATCAGACGTATGTGCTTCTTATTTCAGCTGTAAATAGGAAAGCAGTGTGTAGTACTTAGTGTGCACTCTAAGCCAGTATGAAGCTTGCTGGTTGAGTTTTACAATGAAGTCGTTTTTCCCTTTCTGTCTGCATGCATTAGATCTAAGGGTTAATCACTGGAATTCTGACATAGGAAAAATAGTTATGCTTACTGCTTTCGTGTCATCTATAAAGCTGAAGTTGTCAGGCAGCACAAGGAACTGATGAGCCCTTGAGTGAGATGTGAGAATGCTCTTTATTGTTTTCCCGAAGAGTCCTGAAGCAAGTGGTGTTGTTTATTTCTATTCCAGCACAGGAATAGATGCTGCTCGTTTCTTTGAATCCGTACTTGCAGACTGCATCATGATAAGGGATTACTGAGGAGTATAAAGCACTCTACAGTATTATCTCTATGATGTAGACACATGCTCTGGTTTTTTCCTCCTCCTCATGAATCTGGCGTCAAGACGAGGCAACAACATGTACAGTTGTGGGTTGCTCTTTATAATATTTGTGTATTTATCACCCTCTCCTGATCCTTCATTCGGACATACACATTAATTTAAATACACAGAAAATCTGAAAATCTCTTATCCATTTAGATGGAGGTTTTACGCATTAGTTTCCATTCTGTTGTGGAAGCCAGCATGTCACAGTACTTAGCTTGTAACTCAGCAGTGCAGCTTCACTTTACTATTTCTAGTTTCTGGAGAGGAAAGGGACAGTCTTTTCTGAATTCGTGAGCTCTGAGTGGGAGATTTCTAGAGACACCAGAGTAGGTGGCTTGGGCTTGTGTATTTCTGCAACACTTATAAAGTGACTGTGATTAAATCTACCAGTGTCTGGCTAAATGCGCATTCATTCACTCAAAATTATGCTTGCAAGCCTTTGTCATTGCCCAAGCAAACTAAATTCAAAGAGTTTCCTTTCTAGATCCTATCTTTTATATAAGCAATAGCACTGGGAATACTCAAAGATCAAGAGATCTACAGTTCCTTTTTCTTCTATAAGGGAATTTTGCTATTGGACGCTCTCATTTTTTTATCCTAAGGAACAGGAGCTGTGTTGTGTTTGTACTGTGCTTTCAGTTGTCCAGTAAAGTGTTCACAAATTGATGCAATCGGTGAAAATCAAATAGCAAAAGGAAGTAAATATTCAGCAAGAGTACAGGATGGTGAGGTGATAGGTTCTGTCCAGGGAGGACTGCGTTTGTCAGTGTGGGGCAGCAGAGCCCAGGTAGATACATAAAATCTTGAATAATGGGCAGCAGTTCCTGGAGCTTCAGAAAAGTATTGGCGTGATTCTGCGTTGAGAGTCTATGAACGTCCATATCTCTTTTAGTAGTCAGTGTTAGTTTGTATTTGGTGTTGTTTTCTTAAGTTTAGGAGTTTTCCCCCTTGACCTCTGTTGAACACTGAATGGTTACCATGATGATGGACTGTGTCTCTGGTTAAAGGTGACCCTCACCCTTTTGCTATTCTGAATGCTCATTATCTACAAAATTCTCTGTAAAACAGCTATTTTTTTTTTTCCTACAAAAGGAAGACTTTTCTGAAACTTAACTTTTGGAAAGCAAAGATGTCAACAGCTGCTGGAGACGATACAGCCATGATCTAACAGAGAGGACAGGACCTCTGTAATCAAAAACATTTCCACAAGCTGGAATGCATTAACATAACGGATAAAGGGTGACAGTGCTAATGCTCCTCTAACATGAGTTTTATTGGGTGAATGTGATTCTCAGAAACCACCCATGATGTAAAGATATATGTTGTCTGAACATACATCATAGTAGTTTACTTTTATATAGTAATAGTATTTATAAATGATGCAGACGTTTTGGAGTGATTCATCTGGAATATCTGTCAAAAATTTTCTTCTGCTTTGGAAGTTGGTCCTAAATAAGATCTACAGTCTGAACACCTGGAAGTAGTGTACTTCTGCTGTGTTCACCTTCCAGCTTCTGTCCATTTTTTGAAGTATACCCTGTAAACTTTTTTCATGCTCACCCTCAGGAAATCCGAGAGGTTTGAGGATTCACTGTTTCTGTACCTTTTGCTTTCTATGATTTTGGGGGTATTTAGTGTTAAATGATGTTTAGCATTCAAACTCTAGAGCATTAGAGCACTTTAATTTCCCGAATGGGAAAAGATTAATTTCCTTCCAGGAAAAGAGGAGAGGGTTAAGTTCAGGATTTGTTGCAGCTGGACTGTACTCAAACTGATGGGAATGCAGTGATAAGAGCCGAAGAATTTGAATTTATTACATTTTTTTTCTTTCTCTGCTGCTGAGTGCTGCAGTAATTTCACTGAGCTCATACGTCCTTCCAAGCCTAACAAAATAAATGCATTGGAAAACATCTTACATGAAGTGGGACTAGATAGGGAAGTAACTTCCAATAGCCTGTATGTGTTCGGTGCAAACAGAAGTACCTGAGGTGCTGGGATTGAGCGAAAAGATTGCAGCCCTGGGAAGGCTGTTCTTTGCACTTTCAAAAGTTATAGCAGAGGCCTCCCCAAGTCCATGCCTGAGCTCAGCCCTGCCTTGACCCAAAGGGATCCATGTGGGAGGGGAAGGCAGCTCTTCCTGACTTTCCTCTCTCCCCTGTGGTGTCTAGGCAGGACCAGCTTCTGTACTGACCAGGGTTACTGTGGCAGCACCTAAATAACTGCTTGCTGGTATCTGCTTTACTGTGGTTGTAATATATGCCCTAGGTTGTAGGGGATTGTGTGCAATGCAAACCACATTTAAGCATAGCTAAGTATTAATGTTCTGTATGTTTTCATTTAGGAAATTAGCAAAAAACCTCATCAAAATGCTGCAAAATTGGAAGAAAACTTCAAACCATTACCAGACAAGAAGAAGTATCGGCACAGACCTGAACCTCTCTTCATACCTCCTCCTTCCTTCAACTTCAGCACATCCCACTCTGGTGCCACGCTGTACCAGAGCCAGCTTCGCTCTCCCCGTGTCCTTGGAGACCATCTGCTGGACCGAACACACGAGCTCCCCCCCTACACTCCGCCACCGATGCTTAGTCCTGTTCGGCACGGGTCTGGTCTCTTCAGCAGTGTTATCACATCATCTCACAGCGCCTCGCACACTCAGCTGCCGCTCACTCCACTCACACCAACTCCACGGGTGCTTCTCTGTCGGTCCAGTAAGTGTTATGTTTGGAGTGTGGCAGTTACGTAGTGAATACTGCTGTGCTCTTTTCTAGTGTTATCTCATGGATGATTTTACATGTACACGTGTGCGTGGCTCGTTATGTTGCAATGCCATAAAAATCCATCTTTGTTTGTTGGTTTTGCGTTGGATTTTGTAGAGCATAAAATGAGTGGAGAAGCCTAACCAGTGAATAAAGCTGTGATTTTTCAGTGGGGTCTGCCTTTGTAAGGACTGCATACATGGGGTCTTCTGAAGTGGAAGGAAAAGGTTTGCTTTGAGACATAGGATTAATTTTCTGATTTTGTTCAATGCTTCACAAGAAAGGGTGTCTAATCATACTTGATCATGGTAGTAGAAACCCGTGCAAGTTAAGATGCTTCTAATCTATAGCAATCTAGACTATTTCTATACCTAAATATTGAGGAAGGGTCATTTTTCTATAATAGAATGGAAGAATTTTCCCAGCAGAAAGAAGGTGGTAGCTGCACTCTGAGTTACTTCAGACATGGTCACCAAATGCTTGTATGTTTTATCTTAACGGTGCCTTAGAGCTCCCATTGCTCTCAATTGCTCTCAATTCATTTCTTGCTTTGTAAAATGAACAGGTTACTAGTATGAAAACTTAAGAAGCAAGTTAAAAGTCTTACTCACCAGACCACCAGCTCTGTCTTGTAATCCAGAAAAAGTGAAGCTCATATCACTTTTCCTGCTCTCCTCTTGGAAGCTGGCAAATTAATATCTGTCCTGCCATTAGAACCACTGACTTCAGAGTCAACAACAGCCATGTGACAAACTCCTGTAGTTAGTGCTGATTTGGTTTTAGCCCCGTTTTCCTTTCTGTGGTGCAGAACTGCACCAATGCTCAACAAATGACAAAAAGACATGAATTACCTATGCTGGCTGGCTTTTTCTTGGAGAGAGCAAGGGTAAATGCTATAGCCTTATGTCATGCTCTGGGGAAGGCACAGATTCTGAGCTATGTTAGTCTCACAAATTTGTCTTAAAATCTCCTTCCTGTGTGCCTGTCTGCCTACTATTTTTTGGAGCTGCTTAGAAATTGGGATTGGCTATCTCCTCCTTCAGGAAGGTGGTCTGGGTGCAAATCTTTTATATTCTTGTAATGTCGTTAAAATGTAGTTGTTAGTTTCCTAAAAAAGCGGAAGCCAAATGGAAGCCCCTGACTGCAGGATTGGTTTTTTTGTTGGGGGGAGAGGAGTGGAGGTAGAGATACATTTTGATGCAAAATTTTTTACAAAATTGTTTATTTTCACAGAAGACATTCTTGGTGCTTTAGTGAAAGGATGTTCTCAGAATACTAAGTGTTGGTACCTCTGACTTGCAGAGGTTGTAGTTTTTAGTCAAGCTAGACGAAATCATAGGTTACAGAGAGGGAGTTACAGAAGAAACTTTTTTGACTGTGGCAAACAAGTCCAAAAATGCTGTAGCAGTTACTGAAGGTATAACAAAGATGTAATGTTGATGGATACAGTCAGAGGCAGGGGTGAGGCATTGCTGAAAGGCCTTACATAGTTACAATTGCATAGCCTTGTAAACTTAGAGCATACTGACAGAAAACCACCTCTTTTCAGATAGAAACAGGAAAAAAGAACTAAAGTTCTGTTTCAAAGAGAAGTGTGTGTAGCTGATTTCTGTATATGCAATTACAGATCCAAATACCAAAATAAGGATTGCTTTAATATGTTTACCTGAAATATTGTGTGTGTTCTTTGTACTCAGCCATTTTACTGCCCGGACTAATGCAGACCAGCAGAACACAGAAAACTTTTAGTTGTTATTGATGCTGTGACCTTTAAAGTGAACTTGTTTTAACCTCCCAGCTGTTTCTTAATCCCATGTATTGTGCCTGATTGCTCTTTTACATGAGAAATACACCTGATTATGCATGAACAAGATTATTTTGAGCCAAACATATCCCAGGTGTTGCTGGCTATCTCAGAGGTATGTTGATGTCTGATTTCTGCAGGATGTTAATAGGAGTGTGGCAGTGTAGCCTGGGAGGAGGAGCATCAGCATGGTTGTTACCAAAATATTTTGTAAACTCAGGAATTCTGTTCTGTTTCAGATAGCATTGATGGAAGTGTAGTTCCAGTGACGCCTGGCCCTGGTGAACAGACTGTTGAACCGTAAGAAAAACAATATTTCTTTTGTCTTTGCTTCTGTGTAGGCTACCTTCAGCTTAGGATTTGAGCATGAAATATTTTGGACCAAGCAAGTAGTGTTCAGCTGCCTGAAAGTGTTGGACTGGATGTGTTTAAGGTTACTACTGCATGTGGAGCAGTGACTGTGGGAGATATGGATGTCCTGGTTCTAAAATGTTAGGAGATGCTTAGCAGAAGTTGCTGAAGGTGGAAAACTTTTGGTAATGTCCAGGAAAAGGACCACACGAACGTACAGTTCCACTACTTTTGCTTTTATATTTATGTTGCCTCTGGAGCTTTGGAGGGAAATGTTGTGTGGTGGGTTCGTTGGGGCAGTCTGCAAACAAGGTTGCCCTCCTGACAGTAATGTCTTTTTGCTCTTTACCAGAGTCATTCTCTGTGGAACACAAAGCTAGTGTTTCCTGCATCTAGCTTTTTTGCTAGGCAGTCTGTGCATAGGCTCACTCAGGTTATCTGTAAGGTACGATGTCTTGATATAGTTTAAATCATGCACTGAAATTTTAGTTTCCTCCCAAGAGATCAATTCTCTCTAATGCTCAAAATATTTACCCTGTTGAGAGTAAAGCATTTAATAAGCAATCCGACACAATTTCCTGCCACTCCAGTATAATAAAAGTTTTTTTGGAAACAAAGTGAACACAAATGTGACTTCTGGTTTTTCTGCACGTTGCACAGTTGAATACCTGTTTGCTTATTTGTTATTACAGACGAATTAATATTGGGTCCAGGTTCCAGGCTGATATTCCTGAGCTGCAGGACAAATTGCTAATGGAGAAAGATGTGCACAAGGCTACTCTGGTTTGGAAACCGTGGCCAGAACTGGAGAACAAAGTCTTCCAACAAAGAGGTACAATGACTTGGTGGTTTAGAAGCTCATACATCAGCTTGTGCCTTCTGAAGAAATTCCCATTGATTTTTCATTTGTCCTGTACAAAACATTCAAGACAGCATTAATTACTGAGAGTGCAGGGCAAGAGACCAGAACTGCATATTACAGATTCAGAGTATCGTAGGCCTTTAAAGTGAAGTGCAGATGAAGTGTTCTCTAGTAGCAAACAGGCATAGGTCACTGCTGAGGTTTTTGGGCAATGAACTGCATGATAAGGGCAGAGATCACAGATGAGAGGTGGCTCCTGGGTTTGTCCTGTGACCATAACATAGATAAATTTGATTGTCTGAATGACTCCTCCTAGACCTGAGCAGAGTTTGTTCCTGCTTTTAGTGCAGTACATTTCCCTTTCTATGCCCTAGTTGGAATCTTCTTGTTGCAGCAACATCACTGACCGTATGTGCCTGTGCGAGCCACTGCTCACAGGCAGACCTCTGTCTCTAGCTCTGTAATGCCCCATCACACCCCAGGGGTGCACTCTGCAAATCCAGGCATATCCTCTCCTCAGAGAGTGATCCTGAAATCAGGAGATAGTTGCTGGGGGGAGGGAAGGGAGGGGAGAATATGAAAGCTGCTGCCCTGGACTGCATTGCCTGTGAGTGACATTGCAGGATCCTTGTCTCAGGTTGTTTAACTGACAGGTACTGTATTGGCAATAACATGTGGACTTGTTTCTGACAGTGGAAGACCTCTTAAATATGAGCTGTTCCAGCGTGTTACCTGGTGGAGGAACTAACTCAGAATATGCTTTGCACTCTCTCTTTGAGGCAAAAGGAGATATTATGGTAAGATAAGCTGAAAAGGGAGAGATGCTCCTCTTTGCAGATAAGTTAGCATGCTTTATTAAATGGATTTAGATACGGTTATATAAAAAAGAGATTTCTGATTGATTAGCAGTGATGCTTTAAACATCCTGCAACATTTTTGGGGAATGACTTTTCCCTTTTATTCTTTAATAAATTTAAATTTCAAAGCACTGCCTCTCTGAAGGCTTACTGTATATTTCAGATAGATAAGATTACTTAGTTTATAGCCTTGGGGTTTTGAATGTCTCCCAGTGCTTTCTCCAGACCTGATATTTCACAAGCTTTGTATTTGGCCATAGAGAGCTTAGTCCTCTTTTAGCCCTTAAAAAAACTCCATTTTTTGTAGCAGCAATCACATCTACTTATTTGTTCAGAACTGCGAGGTAATTGCATGCAGTTCTCATATAAATAATGTATTCAAATATTTGCATTAGCTTTGTGATGGGGACATTACTAACTAAGGCTAAACCTCCATTTTGCCCAGCATTCAGGAAAGACAAAGCCTTGCCCCAGCTTCTGGAATGCCAATTTAAAACAAAATAAAGCAGAATGCAGAATGAATCTGGCAAGACTGGCTGGCACAGTGTTCTTTAGCTCACATCTCAGTTTCTTCAGGCTCAATTAGATGTACCTGAGGGCTCTGAGACAGGTGACTGTCAGAAAATGAAATTTACTGTATGGGGGTATGCATTGTCAGCGATAAAAACCAGGAATCCCCAAAATCATCTTTCTTCATGATCCAAACTAGAATTAATTATTTTGGTGTCATTCTTAGCAGATGTTGACTTAAGCAGATGTTCTAAAAAAAAGTTACCAAATCAGCCATTAAATATTAGTATTAATACTATCAAATTAAACACTGTAATTGCACTGGTTTGTGGCAAAGAGAAGGGAGGGAATTGCTGGACGTTGATAATAGCCACATTTGTGCTAATTAAGGACAGACAAGTGTGCATTAATTGCTCTTACATGGGCTACACTGTCAGTGGGGTTTGGAATCATTTGTTGTGATTTTTTTTTATGACAAAAAAAAAAAACCAGACTGATTTCATGTTATCCTACCAAATAGACTTCTAAATACAAATATATGGAGCAACTGACTGCATTTGCTAATTCTTTTTTTTTTTTTTTCTTTTCTCTCTGCTTATTCATTTAGGTTACTGTTGAGAAGCTGCTGTTGAGGAAGCCAGTGAGATTGAAGTGTCATCCTTTGGCAAATTACCACTATGCTGGTACGTTTCCTTGCGATTTCTGTATCTACTCTGTATCCAGAGTCCAAGGCTGGCATCCCAAGCTTGGTGTGTGGGATCCCGCTGCACTCTCTGCTGTCTGCTGCTGGGATGGCAGCCTCTAATAGAGGGTGATGTGGACAGTGCTGAGTGGAACTTCCAGAACCTTTTGTTTACAAGTTTGACAGTTTTGCTTGATGAATTATGTAGAGAAACCCTGTATTCATGTTTCTGTGTAGGGTTCTGCAGGTTTAAAACTGCCTTGGGTTTTTATTTTTCTTTAACTAGAATTTAATATGTTGATCTTCTTTTAAAACTGCTACTATTTATAGATTATTAATTTACAGGCAGTAAGATGTTCCTACTCTGTTGTGTTTTCCTACTCTGTGTCTGCTGTAATGCCTTTCTCTTCTAATGTGGCGCTGTGAATGTGATAATCATGAGCATCCATCGAAAGAGACAGTACTATAGCTCTCTTGTGTCTTTGTGCAGAATGCAGAGCCTCTATTTGCATGGATCTAGCCTAAAAGAAACAGGTTTGGAATGGTGTCAACTTTAACAAACACAGCAAAAATCTCAGTTATGAAGCAGAAGTGCTCTGTGAAATACAGAGTGATGTTATCATCACCTAAGCATAGCTCAAGCTAGCAAACGTCCCTCCTCTGCAGAAGTCCACATTGTTGCTCAAGGCTTTGTAGTGCCTAACAGCTACTTTGAAACATGGAGTTTTACATAAGGGACATAAGACTTTATCTCCAGTTTAGGCTGTGGTGGAAATAAGCTGAGAATCTTCTGGTATTCAGTCAGACAATCACAATGTTCAGGGTCATATACTCATTTCCAGTTGTACTCATTGTGTCACTTAAGTGTAGAATTAAGTTACTTGCTGACTGTAGCAGATTTCTAAGTAACAAGGACTCTTTGTAACAAACTCCTGGCCAGGACCTGAGACAAGAGCAGAAATGTGTCTGATGGTGGCTAATCACAAGAGTGAATGAAGGTGAAGATCAGATTTGATTTTTAGAGGAGGGAGATGGCTTGTGCCTTTGAAAACAACTCTGTTGCAGTCCAAAGGGTGGACATGGGGCTGGATGAAGGAGGATGTCAAGCCAGGAGCTGTAACGGGTTCCTGGGGGTTCTTGTCTGAAGAGGTAACACAAAGCATATGTGAGGTGGGCCAGGGGAGGAAATCAGGGAGATGAAGAGAGATCCCAGCAGCCTCATCATCAATGAGAGGTTCAATTAGCTCAGCAGATAAAAAAATTTTTGCTTGTGTCAGAGGAGCAATAGCCTTTGCTGAGGCAAATTCACAGTAGTTTTAATAAGTATATTATTGTGATGCTGGGAGGAGCTAGGAAATATGTTTTATTTCATCTTTCACATGGGAAGATGCTAATATTTGTACCTAGCACTGAAACCTGTGGACATTAGAATAGCTCTACTTCTTAAGGAGGAAAAGAAATTGTCTGCATTTAGAGCCCAACAAATTCTCAGCAGTGTGGATTTAAGCAACAGAAAATAACAAGACAAAGCATTACTTAATGCTCTCAAATGCAGCATGTGATTGCAGCTTACATTGACAGCTACGTTCTAGCACTGTGTAGCTCTTGAATTATAGTCTTTGTGGTTGATAAGCAGCCACTCGAGGCATATGGGAATTTCTCAAAATCTAATGTGTGAATACTTTAATGTAACTTCAAGTGGTATTTGTTTCAGTTAACTCTTTGGGCTTCCTGTTCTGTATTCAGAAGTAACAGCTGTCAGGAACAGTCACAATGTAAGGTGGAGTAGACCATAATAGAGCATGACAGTGAACTCCTGAGAATCAACTGATACCACAGACAGTAAATATCCAGACTCAGCACTGACCTCAGACAAAGATTCAAGTGGTAGTTTATCCTTGAAGCCTGTTGGTTTGTGAGAGGAAGTTGTAAAACTTCAGACCTTTCTGTTCACCAAGAGAGTGGGGCATGTTGACTGACAGCTCCTTGGAAGAACACACTACTCTCTTCATCCTTATCCTTTGCTGTCTGTTGGATAAGAGAAGGCTCTGGGGAGACCTCATGGTGGCTTTCCAGTACTTAAAGGGAATTTATAAACAGTAGGGAAACCAACTGTTTTCTTGGTCTGATAGTTATAGGGTAAAGGGGAATGGTTTTAAACTGAAAGAGGGGAGATTTAGAGTAGATATTAGGAGGACATTTTTTACTTACAGGGTGGTGATGCAGAAGAACAAGTTGCCCAGAGAAGTTGTGGATGCTCCATCCTTGGAGGCATTCAAGACCAGGTTGGATGGGGCCCTGCGCAGCCAGAGCTGGGGGTGGCAGCCCTGCCCATAGCAGGGGGCTTGGAAGTGGATGAGCTTTAACATCTCTTCCAAACCATTCTTCCATTCCACGATTCTATGATTTGTCTGGACGGTGTATTAGGGAAGAGAGGGGGAGCACGTGCCCAATACAAGAGGAGTGCTTTTTCAGATGCTTGATTTGTTTTTCATTTGAGCAGTGGAATTTCTCAGGTCTCCTGCAGTAAGAATGGCAGGAAAGGTGTTCTCTGAAATAGCGTGCTTCAGGTAGTCTTAAAACTTCTGATAGATGCTACAGTGTATGGGTCAGATCTAGCATATGCTGAATGGAATAGATTTGAGCTGCCTCTCAAGGAGAGCTCCCTGAGTGGAGGTGTAGTTCCCTTGAAACCCACAGATTGGGCCAAAAGCCCCCAAATCCTTAAAAGATATTTCTGTGAGTTAATCAGAGCAAAACCAGTATTTTAATATGGCAGAAATGTATAATAAATGTTTAAGCCTAAAGATCATCTTTAAAATTTGATCTGTATTCCTAAGTCCAAAATTCTTTCTTGCTGCATTGCAGATTTCTCTATACACATTCTGTATGTCTCCCTCAAGCTAACAAGAGCAAAAGTGGTTTCCCAGCAACCGGAGTTAAAAACAGCTTTTCTTCTGTTTCTTTTCCTAATGCAGGATTTATTCTATTAATTAGGTTACTTCCAATTAACCCTCATAATCTTATAAGGGTCTCTGCTAATACCGTAGCTACTGGGGAAAATCTGTAAGGCCTGAATTATCCCTAGCTGTACAATAGAATTAGTTCAAAGAAGTGATTTTTATCATTATTATTATTTCAGGAGAGAACTGGAGAGATTTCCTGAAAACTAAAATCCATCCTGGGCTGTTGTCAAGCTTTTAAAAATGTTATTTTGGCATAGTAGAGTAGGCTTTGGACTGAATTAGTGCATTTACCCCTTCTCAAAGGGAGGGTGAAAGCAAGTGAGTGGCAGGTGGTGTAGAAAGGGAACAACACTGGTTCAGGGAAGGAAAGACAGCGAGGCAGTGTGTCAGCAGAAAGATCTTTGGGTGATAACAGAATAAATAAAATTTGCTGCTTGAAGCCAGTGCCTTTTTTTGACACTTAGACTGAGAGCTTTACTGTAAATCTCTGTGGAAATAGCTAATGCACGCTTATAGCCAGTACTGGGAAAATGTACAGAAAACAGGTTGCAGAAAAGTTAATTTTGTAGTTTTCAGTATATAACAGAGTGATGAGATACTCTCTCTAGGCCTGTGAGCCTGGGAATTGACACTGAAAAGCAAAACATTTGCAGTTAATAAAAAATGTGTATATTATTAGACTTAAATAACCTGCAGAGTTGAATACCACACATGGTGGCAAGCCCAAGTTAATTGAGTTCAATGCAGAGGCAAGCATTTGTGTGGAGAATGGTAACACTGACAGGAACATTTGGGATTTCTTTTAATGATGAAAGTTCCACATACTCTCAGACAGACTGCAGTAGAATCTTCTCAGAGTCATTTCAAGGAATCTGCTTTATGGCTTCTTGTATATCCTTCTTTTAATGTAAATGATGCCTACTCTTACAATCAAGACACTGGTATTTGATGCAGTAGAGCAGTTCTGTGTTCCTTCTGTTTGACCGATGCTGAGGAGACGCACATTATTTCTATTTAAATGTTGATTTTGCATTTTCATGGGCAGTTAGGCTGGTGAAGCAAACAGAATAATAATATTTGAAAGCTGTATGTACAGCTTCCATTAACTGATCAGGAAGCACTTTGCATGATTTTCATACTGCTGTACCCTCTCCATTTACTTGAGGCCTCAATCTCAAAGAATTTGTGTCTTACCTCAAGCCATACACGTGAAAAGCTGTGAAGGGATTTTTTGAGAGTTAGTGTCTGGAGAATTAAACAATAGGTGGACTTCTGTGTAGCTGAAGATAAAGTGGTGTATGTAGGAATAGGCAGTGCAAGCATTGCGTCTAAAATGATCAACTCTGTGGTGATATTTGCCCATTAGAAAAAGTCCTTGGGATTATGATGGTAGTTCTATGAAAACGTCACCTTTGCATTTTACAGAAGCTTAAAGAAAAAAATAACCACAAGTCAGATGTTAAGAAACTAGAGAACATGGTGGTGCCACTGTGCAGGTCTGCAGATTGAGTATTATCTGCCTTTTTGGTCCCTGTGTCTCTAAAGGAATGTTTTAGTAGTGAAGTGTTCACAGAGGGACAACAGTCATGACCAGTGGTGTAGAAGTGACTTGGGCTTATTCGTCTGGAGAGGAAGTGACAGAAACAAAATGCAATCCCAAATAGCATGGAAGTGATCGTAAAGAATGGGTTTGTTTTTTCTTCCACTTGAAGAACAAGAGGTCATCCAGTGAAGCTACTTGGGAGCTAGGAATCAAAGAAAAGGAGGTGGTTTCTTCATGCAGAAGGTCTGCTGATCTGCAGAACTCCTTGGCAAAGGATATTGTGGTGGCAAGAGACCCAATTAATTGGAAAGAAGATTGCATCAGCACTTAGAAGAGTGGTTATGAAATAAGCAAATCGCAACAGATTAAAGAAATCCTCTGAACTGCAAGTGGTCAGAGGCTAGGAGAAGTTAGGGAGAGGCGTTATATTTGCTTGCCCTGATTTTACTGTTTCCTTGGCAACTGCCTGTGACTGCTGCTGGAGACAGAGCGCTGGTTAGGTGGACTTGAAGTCTGAGTCAGTACAGCCATACTTGCATTTGGGTAGCAGCAGTCACAAGCATGTGCTTGAGGTTTCCCACTTTTGGTGTTACATCAACATCAAGGTGGTAGGCTTTCATTGCTTTTAATGAATTCACTGTGTGTGTCGTTTTTTTAAGGCTCTGACAAATGGACACATCAAGAAAGGAGGCTGTTCAAAGAGGCATTGTCCACCTACAGCAAAGATTTTATATTTGTACAGAAAATGGTAAGGTGGCTTCTGTCCTACCAACTCTTTTGGCCATTTGCTGCATTTTGTTCTCCTTCAGTTTCCCTCCAGTGACAGACCAGTTTATTGCAGGCATAGAACTAGTAGCAGATAGAAGGGTGCTGTAAGGAGTGGTATTTTCCATCGATGTACTTCTTTATGCAACTGCAGCACCGGTAAAAAGATAAATAATCTGTTCCTCTTGTTATTACATGTAAAAACTGACACATTGAAACCCAAGTCATGGCATTGTGAGTGTGGGACACGCGGTGGCCAACTAATAATGCCTTTGTGTTCTCCAGCAGTTTGTTAACAGCTACCTATGTCACAGGTGTTGTGCCTTGAAACGTGTTCTTAAAGTGAGATTGTGTTTGAGCTTCATTTGTGACATGTTGTGTCACAAAGCAAAAAGGACAAATTGTGTGGCAGAGTTAAATACCTTGGTTGTTGGCTAAAATGTTGGAAAACATTCGGGGTTTTGAAAATCAAATCTTAATTCTTGGAGATAAGTGTGTATATATATATATATATATATATATATATATATACACACTGTAAGTGTACATCCTCAGTCATTATCCAGTTAGAGTCTAGAGAATTCCAGGGAAGTGTACTGGAGCTGAAACAGTCAACACAAATTTGACTTACAAACAATAATTAAAAAAATTATTCTGCAAGAGTATTTCTGTTGTATTTGAATTGCCTTTATTTCTCCATTTGAATATTTGGTAAATAAAACCTTTCTCTTGGAATATATTAAAGTTGTGTTGAATTAAAATGAAAACTTGAGATTAAACTATTTCTGCAATTACTTAACTGCAGGTTAAGTCTAAGACAGTTGCACAATGCGTGGAATACTACTATACCTGGAAGAAAATCCTGCGCTGGGGACGGAAACACAGAACACGTTTAGAGAAGAAGAGAGAGGAATGCATGGTAAGTCCAGAAGAAATCATATCAATGTAACACTTGATAATTTTGACGTTTATCTTGTTTTGAGCAGGAAGTTGAGCTAGGTGACATAGGACATGAGCTAGGTGAGATAGGTCTTTTCTGACTTCTGTTGTTCCATAATTCTAAGTTATATTCTGTATGAATGTTCTGTTTTGTATTCCTGGACTGTCGTGTTTTGACCAGTGCATTGTCTAACTCTAGTTCAACTATTACAGCTTTGCTACCAGTTAAATCGATAAACATCTATAAATCAGTCCTCTGCATATGTATGTGTGACCACGCATGCCTGAAAAGCTCAGACACTGTGATAAAACTAGCATTTATACAGGCTGGCAATGAATTCATAGTGTGCAAGGTCTGAATTAAAGGTACTCCGAGCATTCTTAAGAGGCATGTTTGATTTTTTTTGTAATTTTTTTTAAGTTAAATCATTTAATTCAACTATGAATATAGTGTACATCACCATCCTAAAAGTGGGGGGCAGTATTGCCCCTTGGCATCTGTAGGCTTCTGGACCACAACTCTGTACTATAGTTGGAGGGCATTTTGAGTGCAGCAGTGAAGCTTCATTACCTGCAATTTATCTGTGAAGTTGTGGTAGCTCCAGCAAGATGAGAATTTCAGCCAGGATGGGGAAAAACACTGAACCCTAGAAGCAGACTTGGCTATATACTACTATCCACTAGTGTCTGTAGTTTGCCATATTCCTAGTATTTCTTAAATGCTCCATCTATTTCAGACAAGTGGAGAAGAGGAAGTGTTAGAGGAAGATGAGGAGATTGAAGAAGACAGAAAGGAAGAAAGGGAAATGCAGAAGTCTCCTGACCCACCAGCTATCCCTCTTGTTGGACCTATAGACCTGCCTACCCTTCAGAGTCTTTCACTTTCTTCATCCTCTTTCATCTGTGAAATGCCAAACTGTGGTGCTGTACGTGTGTTTGATGTCTTCAAATATAATAAATATATATAATAGCGGGGGCTTCGTATCTTAACATATAGTGATTTTTGGAAATCAGATGTATAGGCTATTCCTGGCCAGTGATACCTCCTGAATATCTTTGGACAAATGATTTTGTCTGCTTTGAAATCCCTTGTTATTCAATACAGACAGTATGCTGATCTGTACATAGAATTGTATGATGTAGGGATGAGAAGTGCTGTGTAATGACAGCCCTGATTACCTTTTTATTAAATAACTATAAGAGTAAGATAGCTCATTGGTTTTCTTTTATTACAACTAAGTTAGTTTAATTCTAATGGAGAATAGCTGAGAGCAAGCAACATTTGAACGGGAAAATTGTTAGTGTGCATATCTGACACGTACAGATGTTTTTTATTGTATGCATTCATTATACTTCTTCATGCAGTTCCTGTTGCAGTGAAGTCTGTCTTGATTTTTATTTTTAATTCTCTCCACTCTGCTGTCCATCAGGTGTTCAGTTCCCGACAAGCACTAAATGGCCACGCTCGCATTCATGGAGGTACAAATCAGGTGACAAAGCCACGATGCACCATTGCAGGCACTAAGCAGAAATCTGGTACACAGAGCGGGTACTGCTCCATCAAGAGTTCACCTGCCCACAGCACAACAAGTGGCGAGACTGACCCAACAACAATTTTTCCTTGTAAGGAATGTGGCAAGTAAGTGAATACAACTGTCTGCAGTACTGCACCGCCTCTGCCTATTTGTTTTTCAAATGAATAGTATTGCAACAAACTATTCTGCTCTCATGGTCTCGAAAGAACAGTTTCCCCATAAAACATCATGTTCTCTTACCAAATTCTGCAGAGGTTTTGCATGACAGTTTGGAGGTTTGCATGACAATCTGGATGCTTCCCCTGCAGCATTTCATGTAATATTCCTGAATTTACTTCTCTATTAGAGTTCCTACATGTGACACTCCAATTTCCTGCTTCATTACAGACTTGCATGGCATGGGCGTGGGTAACTTTCTTTATTTCCTTGCTTGAGTTTTTCCATTCTAACACGAGATTCCTCCGCTTTCTGCTTTTTGTGGAAGAATGTAGTGAAACTGAGCTCAGGCAGAATTAGGATGTGCATAGATACTGAAGCAAATGCAGGAACTGCAAAATAGCTTCAGCAGAGTCAGAGTAGGCCATTTTGATGCTGACAGGATGTACAAATCTGGTAGTCGGTCCCTGAAATTCTCACCATGGCATTGCAGACTTCTATTTCAGGACAGGGAGGCAAATGTACTGATAGGTTGTTGAGTGTTTTTTGGCTCCCTTCATCAAAAGCAATGTACTTTTATCTGCTTTTTTTTTTTTCCCCTTTAAAATTTTAGAGTATTTTTCAGAATCAAAAGCCGCAATGCTCATATGAAGACACACAGACAAAAAGAAGAACAGCAAAGGCAGAAGGCTCAGAAAGCTGCAGTGGCAGCAGAAATGGCAGCCACTATTGTGAGAACTACTGGGCCAGCTGGGCATAGTTTGATCCCTCTGGATCACATGAGTTTGGTTAAACATGTTGGAAATGTCGGTGACATTGATGACGATGTTGTTCAGGAGTTAGGTGGCGTCATGGAAGAGAATGAAGTCATGGATGCTGACCTTTTGTTGGATGATGAAGATGCAGATCTACTGCAGGATGATGCTGAGTTGTAAATAAAGTTGTTTGATAAAGACAGCTACTGAGCACACCCTGAATGCATCAGTCAGGGAACCTGGACTGTTCGTTTATTCCCCACTGATTGTAAACTACCTGATGAAAAATGATAATTCTTTTATCCAGGTCCAGAAAAGAAATATGCTTTTTTCCCTTTTTTTATTAATTTGTGTTTCTGGGGGGAGGAAATAAATACTTGGTACAAATATTCTTATAAGGTGTTTTATCTGGGCTTATTTTGCTGGTATCTTCCAAGGCCAGTAATCGGAGAAGGTCACGGTTCTGCTGTCATTTCCCTCGGTAGGATCTTTAGTCTTAAACTCTTCCAGGTTTCACTTTACCCCACTTACAAGGATATCTTCACACATTTCTGATGGATTTTATTTTATTTTTTGCCTGCACTGGATCACTTCCAGCATCTTCTAGAAACTAAATGTCATTTTTATTAAGGAGATGATTATGTTCTTTTTCTTTGTGCTGTCATTTTAAGGGAAGTAGAGAAAAAAATCTGCTTTAACTGTGAAATAAATACAGGAGTGACTGTATCATCACCTTACCATTTTCTGTATCACAGTACTTTTTCAGTTCTGTCTTGCCTTAATGCATATATGTTAGGCAGTTCATAAAAGCTTTGGTTACATTGTACATTTTAGAGTTTCATTTCTAACAAGGCTTTGATCTGCTGATTTTAAAATGACCTAATTCAGGAGTTGAAGAAGGATGATTGTGCTGTGGTTCACATCAACTCATGGGAACACTGAATCAAGAACACTGCGTTGGCAATCAGATTGCACAGGAAATATATTTTGATGTGACAATAAATCACATTGTTGAATAGCCATGTCAGTGATTTTAGGAACATATTTTTGAGCATTGCAGGAGCTTACTCTCTTAGGCAAATACAGGGAGACATTCTTGTCTGTGGAACAGAGATTGATGGAGTATATGCCTTCAGCATATGTTAGTTATTATTTCTACACATGAAGTGTTGTTCTTGTGCCATTTTCAGTCTTCCTCATTACATCAAATTCAGTGTTGTTTACTTCATAAAACATATCCCAAAGGTGAGATGACGCTGTTTAATTACTGTTTCTCTTTCTTCAGGCTCAGATCTACCTGCCTGATGGCTAAATTCACTTCTGTACATCTGGATTTGGTTTTCTACTTCAATAAAATCTAAAAACAGTTGTACCCTACAGAATCATTAGAAAATCTAGAACCACGGGAAGAAGTTGAGTTAGATTGAGTGGACCTTGAACAGTACAACAAGAGCAATGATTTTTGAACTTTCACAGGTAGTAGCACTGATTTTCTTGTGAATCTTTCACAGTGGAGGAGTGTTGCTAATTTTATAAAATATTTTATAAGACTGACTTCAGATCTTCCAGTTTCCAGGTTTTTTTTTTACGGGTGGGGTTTTGGTTTTTTTTTGTTGAAGTCTTTTTGTCACATTTCTAACACTTTAAGTGGACTCTGAGAGATGGAGGATCTTATTTTCTACTGTCTTGTCTTTTTTGTGTAACTATGCAAAATGAGGGTAAGCCACAGTACCTTTGTATAGGAGTACTGGACCACAGTTTCAAAACCAGTGGGACTCACTAGAAGAGAGGTGACTTCTCTGTCAAAGCCAAATACACAAATTCAAATGGCCTGAAGTTTTCACTTCGTGTCAAACGTTCTGATAGTAAAGAACAACCCTTTAGGAGAACAGCAGTCACTTCTCAGTTTTAGTTTAGTGAAGTTCCCATCTGTGTGGTTTGTTCTATTTGTCTTGGGGGTTCAGAAACATTTTAGTTAGTTTTGACCAGAGGGTGGGATTTTGCTCCCGTTGCTACAGAATGGATGATGTTCTCAATCGCTGTGCCTGAGAGATGAGAGAAGAGATGAGGCACCAGCCTTCTTTCCTTTCCTGACCTATCTGTCAGCACACTTCCTAACAATTCTGTCCGTGCTGTGACATCACTTTCACAGGGCCCATGCAACCCAGGTTCAGCTGGCTGAGTGCTCAGCTGTAAGCTCCCAGCTAAATCCCAATGGTAAATCTTGTAGTCTGCACAACTCTTAGCGTTTGCAAAGTGGGAGCTCTGGTGAGCTGTGACCTGGGTTGGCTTCTAGGGGCATGTGGCACAAACAATACAGTAGAGCCTGCTTCCTCTTCCAAGCCTGTATCATTTTGAATTTCAAGGACCTCTCTGAGAAAGGCTGCTACCCTGGCAAAATGGAAATGTTTTCAGGTTCCCGTCTTGGTGGTGGGAAGAAAGCTGTGTGAAAGAAAAATGGTCACGGAAGTCAGTGAGAGTTCTTGAAGAACGGGGTGAAGTACAGTAGGAAATTGCAGGCTCCATTCTGAAGAGCAGCTCTGTGCTAAAGAATCTACAGTGAAATCTCTGTAGCAACAGCTGGGCAGGTAGCTGTGCTGCTCCTGGCGTGGGTACATGAATACATGTGTATAGATGCCTGCTTCTGTCATAGCCATCGGGTGCCGCTGTACTGCACAGCCAAGACGGTCATCCAACAACCAAAGAAACCATTCCGAAGACAAAAGCAGCAATTTCATACACAGTACACGATTTAGGCACCTGACATGGACTTGCCCAAGTGTGGCACTGGCTGATGTTACACAGCTGTTGTTCTCTTTGTACATACGTCGGGCAGTTGTGTTGCACACAAGCTGTTTTATTACTGATGGTTGATGATGGAAAACTGTTCGCTGTTCAACTCGGTCCTCTTTGCTGAAACCTGTACATACAGAAAACATATTTTATGAGAAAAAAAAAAATCTTATTTTCAGTATTTAACTGTTATTTTATTAGAAGATGGTTGTACATATTTTAGGTGCTTTAGTGTAAAAAAAAAAAAAAAAAAAAAGGCAGACTGTTAATTCTAGGCGGCAGAGGAAGTAACAAAATAAAAATATCGATGCGTTTCATACAGCCCGTGATCTGTGCTGGTTTCAGGTCCTGCTGTCAGCAGGGAACGCGTGTGACAGGCGGCAGCGCCCTTGCGGCCAGCCCGGCCCTGAGGGCAGCCCGCCTGCGGGCGCCATACGGGCTGCGGCGCCCTGCCTCCGCCTCCCCCGCGCGAGGCCCCGCCCGCCGGTGCCGCAGTGCTACGCCTGAGGGGACCGCGGCTCCGCCATGCCGGCGGGGGGCGCTCTTCCGTAATCAGGACAGCGGGGAGCGGAAGGTGGCGGATGAGGCCACTTTCTATTTCCGGGTCGCGCTCCTCTGGCTGGAGGCAAGATGGCCGCGCGGTGCTTGTGGAGGAGGCTTTGCCAGGTGGGGAGTGTTTCCTGGGGGCCGGTCCTGCTCGTTGGTGTCCCTTTAGCTACGGGTTAAGTTTCTGTGGCGTGTGGCAGCGCTTCTGTCCGTCGCCATATGTGTCGGGACTTTGGAATGCCTTGTTTTATAGTCTGTCGTAACTATTGCTCTGGTTGTAAGGGGGTAACGAGGAGCGGTAACTGGGATATGGAGGTCTTGAACTTACGATGTGAAAACTGGGAAATCTTTTCAAATATAAAGTAGTGGTGGTTCTGCTATTGCAGACTTTGAAAAGCAACTGCCTTCTCAGACGTTGGGAGGATTCTGATGTGATGCATTTCCCATTGGGTTTCTGAAGCCCCACACAGCCCCTGTGCGCATGTGCTGCCCTGTGGACTCGCTCCCCTTGGAGGCATCCATCTCCTGTGTGTTCCAGGACCTCCTCCAGCCGACTGAGGCTGATTGGCACTGGGAGTGTTTCAAATTGGGAATTGAATTCTGTATCACTTTGATTGTCCCTTCTACTCCTATGGCAGCCATTAGCGAAAGGGCATCAAGTATTTAAGTCAAGTATTTAAGTAAAAGAAGCTGCTAAAGCACTCTAATGCTGAATGCCATCTTTGTTACATGGGATACTGCAAGCATTGCTTTATTCAAATTTGCATAGAGCAGCTTTAATTTTATTTTACAAGAACTTTAGATTCAGTGTATAGTTGCACTTCTAGTGACAAAATGGAGCTGCAAGTGGTTGGGATAATATGCACAATCATGCAGTACTGTAAAGACTAGAGTTAGGTAAGTGTTCTGTTATATTTGTCTGTTTTACAAGGGCTGTTCCTTATGTATTCTAAAGCACAGGACATGGTACATGGTATGCATGCTCTAAGGATGTGCATCTTTGCCTGCAAATAAGTAGTCTATTCTCCAAGGCCAGGTAGATAAAGCAACAGACTATATAACAGAGACTGCATATGCACAAAAACAAAGCGCTGGTTGAATTCCTGATTACTTTTTTGGTCTTCTTACAGCAACATATTATGTACCCAATGATTGCCCAATCTGTAATCTCCTCTTTGTCATCTGCATAGGTTCTGTGCCATGTACTCATACACACAGTGTGAGCCCTTTGCTGAATATAAACTTCTACACTTACGGGCATATCTTTTCCTTGATGTGATGTCAGGTGATGATACTGTACTTCCTGCTGCCTTTAATGGGGGGAAGATGGTATTCTGATTTCAGACACAGAATGAAGGTGTAAGGATCAGGGTAATTTCCTTAGATGTATTTATTTAACGTTCTTAGGTCTCAGGGAGTCCTTTGCCAAATGGTGAGGTAGTGGTAGGAAGCTAAAAGCCATGTCAGAAGGGAGAGATTTTTTTGGTATGAAAGATGTATGGTATGTCTTAATTGACATTTGGGTTCACTACTTAACGCATACCAAAAAAAAAGTTCAGTAATTAATGTGCTTTTTGGAACTGTTTCTGTGTTCTCTTCAATGGGACAAATAGTCAAAACCACAGGGAATGTTTCGCTGCAAAAAAAAAAAGTGAAATCTCAAGTTAAGTTCAGAAGCTAAGTTTCTCTGTAGTATCCTTTATAGGACACTTCTCAACTGCTTTTACAGCAGCAAGTCCTACTTATGTTCATCTGAGGAGGTTTCACTGTACTGTCAAAGTACAACTATGGAGAAAACATTACTATATATAAAAATGATCTGATACCACACAAAATGTATTTTCTAATAAAGAGTTACTTTGTGATTGCTGTTTGGGTGCCTGGTTAATCATAGCTGCAAACTGTTGTATTATTTCCCTAATGTGTGGGATTTCTCTTGTTGTTTCTGTTTGATGATTGTTTGTCTGTTTGCTCTGTGAGATTTGTGTATGTGTGGAGGGGGCTTGCTGTTATTTTTATGACACAATTGTAGATAATTCCATGCTCCTGTTTTCCTGTGTTTTCTGAAGGAGCAAGCTTTACAGTTTGGCAGATCAATGTCAAGCAATGCATTATGCTCTGTTGCTCGTACAAGTAACCTTTGATAAGTCTGTATTGTTTGCTGCCTACTTTCCAGTGAAGAAAAAAAAAGCAATTTGACCATTTGTTTTATACAGGGATCATCTTTTCCTGTCAACTATGCAAGCAGAGTTATGCAAAAGCAATGTTTTCTTCCGTAAGTATAACAGACCCTCTTCCCTTCCACTTTTCCCCCATGCTTCTTCAGAAAGTGCAACTTCAACATTAATTTCTCCCCATAAATCTAGAAACTTTGACTTGGTGGGAGGACGATTCTCTGGATCCCATGTTCATACAGAGGAACCTAAGACTAATCCTCTGGTAAGTGTTTAATAGAGCAGGGTATTGTATGCCATTGTAATTATGAAGAGAATAGAGAGAAGTAAATCCCTCTATTTCAGGTGGTTTGTTGTGTTTGTTTTTTTTTTTTAAGTCTCAATGATGTCAAATTGGCCTTAGAGTAAGAAACAGTTTAGATTACTGCTGTTTGAGATTGTATTTTCAGCATGATTCCTGTAGCTCACAGTCGCCGCTTTGTTGCTTTTCTCCTTTGTAGTGTCTGTGTTTTGGCTTTAGGAGAAAAACCATGTTGATAACACACCAGTGTTTTACTTACTGCTGAGCAGCACTGTACAGAGCCAAGGATGGTTTGGTTTCTCAGCTTCTCTTACTGCTCTGCTAGCGAGGGGACTGAGGGGTAAGGGAGGGGGCAGGACCAGGGCAGCTGACCTGAACTGGCCAAAGGGATATTCCATACCATAGGGAGTCTTCTTGTAAAAGCTGGAAAGTGAGAGGAGGTGACTGAGGGGCTGCTGCTGCTCAGAGACTGGCTGGGCATCGATCAGTGTGTAGGGAGCAGCTGTGTTGTGCATCCCTTGCTTTGTGTGTGTGTGTGTGTATAGAGTGAGAGAGGAATACACGCACACACATACAGCATATTTACATATTTCTTTTTTTATTTTTATATTACATTACTGCTGTTTTTGTCCTCTTTCTTTTCTGTTGCAGTAAATAGTTCTTATCTCAACCCACAAGTTCTACTTTGTTGTTTTTTTTTCCCCCAGTTCTCTCCCCATTGGGAGGGGGCAGTGAGTGAACAAATTGTGGTGCTGAGCTGCCTGCCAGGTTCAACCACAACTCAAAACCAGCCTTCCTGCCACATGTGCTGCGTGCTGGAATTACTGCTCTGAACTGCAGGAGAATAAACCAGGGCTTTTCAGATGAACAGTGAGCCCAGGCCATTAGAAATGAATGCTCGAACTAAGAGTCATAAAATTGTAACTTGAAAGTCACAGACTTCTAACCTAGGCAAATAGAAAGGATAATATGCCTGGGGAAGACTGGTATATCTAAGTAGCTTTATTTTAGGAAGGTGAGAATTCTTGTACCTGACCATAATGATAACCAATAGACATTTGAGAATTTCATGTATTTTCACACTTCTATTTAGAACGCTCATATTGCTGCTCCAAACTTGCTTTAACAAGAAGTTATTTTTCTTGCCTTTGCAAATGTTGTCCTTTTAGCTAACATTCCCTTTGTGTTTTTGATTGAGAAATCTTGCCTGAATATTCAGAAGTTAGGTTTCTCTTCACACTTACCAGGGACAGTAAGATGAAGGATCTCTGTTGATCGAAATTAATACAGTTATCCTCTTGGAGGTAAACATCAACTGAGCAGATAACTGTGTTTGGAGGGGGGGGGGGGGGTTCTTCTTTTACAAACGGGACACACAGGCTAAGAAGATATGCAGTGATTGGATTAATAAAGGAGAGCATGGAGCGGTAACACTTACCTTTTCTTAAAAAATACAGGTGTCTATTTCAGATGAACCAGAAATACTGTACCGGAGACTGTCCCTTTTGGTTAAAGGCCACGATAAAGCTGTGTTGGACAGCTACGAGTATTTTGCTGTGCTTGCAGCTAAAGAACTTGGCATCACTGTTGAAAAAGTGTAAGTAACCCATCTGTAGCATGATGTGATGTCAGATGCTTTTTACATGATCTACTGTAACTCAAATTCCGTGCTTGCAGGTATTTCCCTTTTTAGAAGAAATGAGTTTAATCTGACATTCCTTCTCAGATTATAAATCTGATACTTCTTAGATGGTAGCGTGGTGATAGAAAGCAGAAGCAGTGCTACTTGCAATGCTGCTGTAGTAGGGTTGCATTGTAACTGCATGAAAGATACCAGAAATACTCTTGTTACAGTCATCAGTGCTTTAGCGTTAATACTAACGTGTACCAGTACTTCATACTGCCTTGTGGATCTTCTAAATGTCAGATAAGAGCAGAAATTTCACCATAATCTCAGATAATTTCTAGTAACATCATTTATATAAAATTCAACGTTACAGCATCTTCTCTTTGTTCTTTGTTCAGACATAGACCTCCAAAGAAGATAGAACGACTTACGCTTTTAAAATCTGTGCACATTTACAAGAAGCACAGAGTTCAGTATGAAATGAGAACACATTACACCTGTTTGGAGGTAAGAAAGATGTAAAAGGAAGAAATATTAATTCAATTAGCTTGGGGAGATGAATGATGGGTGTAAAGTAGGAGGGCAATGATGTAGGTACATCAAATGTAGCACAACTTATTCTGAATGTGTAGCCCATCTTATTTTTGTCTGCAACGTTGATTTTGACCAGTATATGAAAGAATGATTTAAAAATAAGGTAGTTATCAGAGTTACCTTTATATATTTTATGCTCTTAATTTCCAATAATCTGTAGGATAAGAACTTTCTCAGGGAAGGGAAGATGCTGCAGGTAAGTCATTGTCGTGGTGGTAACTGAGAGTTCTGTTCTCCGTGAGCGTGCTTGATATTTTGAACACTTTTGCCCTGTGCAACACCATGTGACAAACTAAAATTGTAAGGGGAGAAATACCAGAAAGGAAGTGTGTACAAACCACTAGTTCTGTGGCTGGTGACGCAGACTTATATATGGTTTAGTATGCAGCTGTGGTTGACCTTCTCAGAATAAAAGTTTACTGCCAGCTTTTTGTGGCCTGTAGGTCTATTATGGTGTAGTTGTGCTTAGTAAAATGTGTCTCTGCCCTCAGTCCTCAGACAGTAGAGCATTGCTGATGGCTGCCCACAGACCATAAACACAACTTCTGCTTTCCAAGAGAAACTAGAATCAAGAACATGGTAGAGTTCTGGAGTTGGGGGATTTCAATCCAGCTTGAATTTTGAGAGTATAAAAAAGCTGTGAGTTCTTGCCTAACCTGCAGTTTGATCTGATTCTTGCACTATTAAGGTCCATTTCTATCATGATCAATACGTATGAGCACACAGTATATATACAGTTCTGCATGGAATTGCTACTTTATACTTGCATAAGATAAGTACTGCTTACCTGCCTGTGTTGAATTTTATGGGAGCTGGCTTAGTGTAAGATGCTTGGACCCGCTGCAAAAACTAGAGAAGTCAGAACAAACTCCTTTTTTTCATATTCCATTTGAAGTATTAGTAATAGTCTTTCACTAAAAAAGCACATTGCTTCTGTTTTAGTTAAAACACCTAACGGGCAGTACTGCTGCAGTGTACTTAGAGTATGTTGAACGAAACCTACCTGAAGGGGTTGCCATGGAAGTAAAAAAGGTAAGTTTCCATCTCATGTTATTAACTGCTGTGAGATTAAGTCGAGATGCAAATACTAATAATTACTGAATCCTTTAGAAAGTCACTAGAAGAAACACATGTAGTTTGTGAAGGCTGTTTTTTCTAAGTATTGAAAGGAGGCTGTATTACTCAAAAACGTCACTAGGTGGCACTTCTAATCCCATAAATATCCGAAACCAAAATAAACAAGGCATGGTAGTTAGATGTTAACTAGTTGGTATAATAAATTGTGTCCTTCCTTCCATACTAGACAAAGATAGAGAAAATACCTGAACACATCCAGGAGCCAGTTTGGGACACTCTACCTCAAGTAGAAGAAACAGAAGTCAAATCATGAATTCACCAGGTACTTGGGTGTTAGTACTGGAACTACTTGCTCCTATCAACCTAATTTACTAAGACAATCTACTGATAAATAAAAGTTCTGTTTTATAAATATTCTTAAATATTCTGTAAATATTCTTATTTTACTGAGTTATTCTTGATCATAGCTCCCGAACTTTTAGACTAACCGAACGTCTGTAATGTGAAGAGGCTTGACTGCACGCTGTGATCAAAAACTGTGATCATCTGTAGTGTTTTTTGAAGGCTAAAACGTATTTATAAGTAACCTAGATCCCCATTTGACACTGAGTGCCTTCTGAATTCTGAAGTACTTAGGAGATACTGCTTGCATTAGAGTAAAGTTTAAGGTAAAGGATGCCAGACTGTTAGACATTGTTTTGTTAGTGGTGCTTTGAAATAAGTAAATGCCAGTTGCGTGTACAGCTTATGTATTAACGTGTAGTATGTCAGAAAATGCAGTCTTAAGGAGCACTGAGATATAGTGAGATTTTTCTATGCTCTTATAGTTCCAATAGCCTCATTTCCAGTATTATTAACTGTTTGCTAAAAGGAGAACACATTGATTCCAGTACAAATAGGAGCTTTCTGCAGGTGCAAGTCTCTAATTTTATGAAGTAGATGTAGGACCTTGTTGCAAAGTAAATGGATGCTAGAAAGTCTCATTGTACATGAGACATATGGTGCATTAAATGCCTTATTTCACTGTAGGGAAAGGTGTAGCCTTTTTTTAAAGTGGTGGGTTGGTTATTCAGTAAACATAGTCTAGCTGGACACAGGTGATGCTTAGAGGGAGAAAAAAAGAGTACAGATAGTAAAAGGGTGCTCAACTAACTTGAAGGTTACTTCACTGTGAATCAAAAGAGATACTGCTAGGTGCAAAACAATCAGTGACTTCAGACTGCATTAAGCACTTTGTTTTTACTAGGTTAGCAGGTAGGACAGAGCTGTAGAAATCTTCTTTGGCTGTAATTTAACTGCTGTTAAAATAATTTACATAAGGAATGCCCTTGACCAGACAGCCAAAGAGCCTGGACCATACTTGCTGACAGTACTCAAAGTCACATTCACAGAAGAAAAGAAGCTTAGTGTTGTTATCAGACAGAAGTGCAGAATCTTAATGGGAAATAGCTGAAAGATGAGAAACCAAGCTTGTACTTGAAAAACTATGTTTTCTAGTTGTAGAGAGGCCCAAAATTGTTTTAGGAGAGATGTTTCAAGACAGTCAGTAAAACTGGTACCGTTTGTGACAGAAGGGAAGCTGCCTGAGCATCTTCTGCAATACGCCCAGGAAGCAAAAAAATGTGGTTAATGCAATCTCTTAGGAGAAGATATACTGCCTGGTTATTCCTTGGAAGATCTGCTTTCCACAATTTCAAGCTTTTCCTCTTTTTGGTATAATATAGCATTTCTTAAAATCGTATCACATATTATATAATAGTAAGGAAGAAACTATGTGCTGGCCTGGTTCGATAAAACTGATGCTTCAGAGAGGAACAGCTTCTTTGAATTCTGCATGATGTTTTCTTCAAACTTGCCATGTCTTAGTTTTGCATAAGCCACCTGCCAAATCCCAGCTGTATATAGTATCAAAATGCGCTTGTGCTCAATACTAAGTCTTCTACCTCTTAGTTCGACGCTCAGTAAGGTTAAGGGGTTGTCTTTTATTGTCTTTGGTGTCTATTCTGGGCCTTCAGTTTCTGACTAAATGGCCAGTCAGTGTGGCTTTTCAGTTGACTGACGGTTTTAGTCATCAGACCTTAATAGGATCAGACTTAGGTAGCAACTGTGGAAAATATTAACCCATATAAGCAGCCCCCAGGCAGGAAGGCATACTTTATCTTTGGAAAGGTGTTATCAGTGGAGAATTATTTGCCTGCAGCCTCACTGTATACTGGGGGAAGCCTGTCTACCTTTAAAACGATCTCTGGACCTCAGCAGTGTTGACAGAACTGTACTTACCAGTTGTCACAGATTACCTCCACCCCGAGGAAGCAGAATTACCTGTGCAGAGTCTGATTGTTACAGGCCAGTATTTAACAGAACTGCTTTGTAGGCCATACTTCTCATCCTTATTTTTCCCTGCACAAAGTTTTCTTCTTTTTGAGACTGTAATCCTTTGTTACCTGTTGTAGTCTTCCCTCCATGTTTAGGGATTTCCTCAGGCATAGCAACACCTTTATTTCTGGTTATGCCTTTGCATAACACGATAACTGCGGTATGTTCTGGTCATCTTTTTTGATCCACTGATGTGGCTTCTGACTTTCACAGCAAGTTCCTGATCCTCACTTAAGAACTTTGGATTAACCATACTGTCAGTAACCCTTTTGATTCTTTACTTCTTTTCCTGTTCTTTCAGTACATGTTTTAGAGGAAGTAAGAAAATGCAATGCTTCACATTACTTATAAACAACAGTATTTGAGCATGCAGTATTGTTTTTTTTTTTTTTAAGTTAGACATTCAAAGCTTAAATGACATACAGGCAGATTTGTAATCAGTCTGAAATGCCTGCTTTTGCACTCATAGAGCAAAATCACCAGGATCACCGATTTCACACCCTGAAGTTAAGGCAACATACCCTTCATGGGATTTTCTGTGCATTGCAACAGAGTATTCCTACCTTTTGAGAACTCCAGTCTGAGTCTGAAACAGTCAAGGCACTGTCAGTATTGCTGTGTGTATCAACTAATACTTCCTCCTTTCAGTGGTTTTCTGACCTGGAACTAAACTGAATCCTTAGCATCAGTTCAAAATCAGTATCCTTTTTGTAAAGGAAATGTAAGATGAAAAGTTTTGATAACATTCAGTAACAAAGCTCAACTTTCAATATGCAGTAGCCCACATTTTCACCCTGTAGCCTGGACACAGATTATTAATCCTGCTGCTCTCACCTCTGGCTGATACTTCATTAGCCCTATCTAACAAACAAACATTAACCCAGGACAGTCATTCAGAGGGCCAGATTTTAACATGTATAACCTAATTTTTTTTTTTTTTTTTCTTTTTCTATATAGTCTTACTGTTTATGAACGTAGGCAACAGTAAAACAATAAACCTTCAAATTTTTGCTTTCCCTCTGCCCAGTTCAGAATTCAGGTTTCCCTATGCTCTGTGGCATTTGAAGATAGGCACTTGTAGTCTGAAATCAGTTCTGACCCTTTGCACATATCTATTAAATTCCAGCCTGCTAGTATACTCTTACTGAGCACTTCAGAATAAGAGAACTGAAAATGTTCAAGAATGCGGGCAGTTACACGTTGGACAAATATTTGATGAAGTTCACCCATACTTTGAAAGCTAAGGCAGACAACTCAAACCATTGCTTTAACAGAAAGAAAGCAGCAGTGTTTGTAAGAGTTCCTTACTGTCAGAATACTACTTTATGACCATCTTGAAGTTTGTTTAGGCAGATTTCTAGCATTTTCTGCCAGTATGAGCAAATAAATTTCCATAAATCAGAAAACAGACGCCAGTATAAAGCTGTTCTGGAGCCCCAAACAGTTGTAGTAAGTACAAAGAGAAGTATCGTGAAAGAAGTTCCTAATATGACGGAGAACTTCAGCATGCTGTCAGTAAGGCTGTCTCAGTCTGAATAGGACTGGGTAAATGCTGGCACTGTAGCTGGCAAGTCTTCAAGTCCGTTCAGTCATCAGAATCATTGGTAACTGTAAGTTAGAGGTGGATTTCCTGAAGCAAATGCTTTTTCACTAACAGCTACCAGCCTACTTTGGGTGTCAAAATATACGGACCAATATATTATGTAAACAATTTTATAAACGGATGTTTTGTTTTTTCAGGTTTGTAGAACCTGCCCAGTGCTTACGTACCTCATCCAATTAATTTTTAACTATCAGGGCACTGCAAGTACAATGAAGAAAAGCAACCCCTTTAAACCAAATATTACCAACACCAATGTTTAGTTATTTGAAATGTAAAATTCGTTCTGTTGTTTTTAGAATGTTCCACGTGTATAATTCAAAACCTGTTGTGTTTTGAATTGAAAATACCATATATCATCCTGTAAGTCCCTCAACTGAACTGACCTGCTGAAATGGCACACTCTGATTCAGTGACCATTTGTGTGCAAAGAACTTTCAGCTTCATTATGGTGCCTGTGAGAAATAGAAACTTTGGGTCATTTTTTGTGCTGTATATTTTATTTCATAAAATGTGAAGCAGCTGTCAAAGCTGGAGGTTCTGTCATGGCCCTGTTTTTGGATCTTTACAGGTATTTCCCTTTTAATCTCTGAGTTTATGTGAAATAGCACGTCAAGATAACACCAAGATACTGCCTTTCTTTGTGTAAGGAAAAGGACAGGAATGCATCACGGAGTGCCAGGTATTATGGGAGTGATGCATGGGATGGAAAACAGAACGATAGGCAAGCATGGGCTGTGCTGAAGGAAGAAGTGAGCTGCCTTGTCTTCTGAGTTACTTGGGATTTGTATCTTAGTCTGCATCTTCATTATATCCAACAAAATGAAGCATATGAAATAAAGGGGAATTAAAATTCTACCATCTGTGGTTTAACTTGCGCTGC